AAATGCCAAAAAAAAAAAAAAAAAAAAAAAAAATCTTAAAAAAAAGACACAGCCTGTCTGAGCCCTCAGGTTCTACAGTCACATTTTCTGGGTTCAAATCATCCCAACTCTGCCACTACTATTAACTGTATGAGCTTGGGCATGTAACTTAGCTGCTCTTAGCCTCAGTTACCTCATCTGTAAAATGGGATCAATCCCACAGGGAACCTACCTTGTGGGATTGTTCTCAACGTGAAATGATGTACTGCTCGTAAACAGCTTATCAAAAGGCCGGCAGGTGCCAAACTTAATAGATGTTAGCTAGAATTAAGAACTCAGGTTCAGGGGCAGAGCAGGGGCCTATGCTTGAGTCCTTCCACTGCCCACTCACTGTCCTGGATCCCTTGTACTTGGGAGACCTGCCGCTGGACAGTTCAGGCACCCACAGCCCTGGCACAGCTCAAGGATATGGTCTTCGATTTCTGATGCCATCTTGTCACAGTTGACCCCATAGTCCTTGTAATCGTCTAAAAGAGATTCGGGAAACACAGGCATCAGCTGGAGATGACCTTGGCAGTGACGCCTGCTTGGACAGGGGACTCTAACATCCTGTACCACTTTCAGGGTGCTGAGAAAGACCACCTCTCCCTGACCTTGGGAAGCCCTCCCTCCCTCGTCCCTGGCCCAGGCCCTCTCACCGTCTGCCTTCAGGGCTGCGGAGAGCATCTCCACACACTTGTCCCGGACAGAGTCCCCCGTGAGATAGCAGGGCGCCAGGATGCAGACAGAGGGGGCAAAGGTGGGGCTCGAGGGGCTGCTGGGTGTTCTGGGAGTCTCTGCTTTCGGTTTGCCGCTGTTTGATCTGAGGATGAAAATCAGTAATAGACATTTTGACATTAAGTGAATAAAGCATTTACTGAGCACCATTCTAGATGTTTTTATGGATGATCTCCTTTAATCCTCATAAAAACCATATGAGGAAAGTACTACTTTTTTTTTTTTCTGGCTGCGCAGCACGTGGGACCTTATTTCCCCGACCAGGGATCGAACCGGAGTCCCCTGCATTGGAAGCGTGCAGTCTTAACCACTGGATGGCCAGGGAAGTCCGGAAGGTACTGTTTTAGGCACTTGACAAGGATCATCTCATTTAATCCTCCTAACAACCCCATGAGGTCTGTATTATACGTAGCCCCATTTTAGAGTTATATTTTAAAGTGCATTTTAGAGAGAGAGATGCATTTAAAGATGCATTTAAAATAATATGACAGGTCACATATCTGGAAACCAGAAGAACCAGAATTGAAACCCAAGAGGGTGAACTCTGGTACCTAGGCACTTAGCCAACCACTGTGCTCTACTGAGAGGTTACAGAAAGTGTAACGATGCCAATAACTCTATCATCCACCAGGCACCATGCTAGCTGCTCTCTCTATCTGCTCTCACAGAACCATCTATTCACTCATTCAATAAATATTAGGCACCTATTTTCCAGGTACTGTGCTAAGAACAAGGGATAAAGCAGACAAACCAGAAAAGTTCCCTCACTACAGTCCAGTGAATAATGAATTTACCACCACTTAAGAGAATTGTCTTTAACCATGTGCCAGGAACTGTGCCAGGCACTTTAGGAGCATTTTCTAATTTGATCCTCACAGCAGTCCTTGGAAGTAGATACTGTAATCATCCCCATTTGCAGATGGGGAAACAGAGTTACACTACTGAGATCTGCCTAAAGTTACAACGCTAAGATTTGAACCTAGATCTATCGGATTCCAATGTCTATGCTCTTAACTCCTATGATACACTGCCTAAGAATGACCCCATTTTGGTTTTGGCTTAAAAGACCACAAATATATATGAACTGGAAGGATAACCACGTGTCTTAGCTCGGGCTGCCATAACAAAATACTATAGACTGCATGACCTAACAGCAATTCATTTCTCACAATTCTGGAGACTGGGAAGTCCAAGATCAAGGTGTCGGTTTATTTGCTTTCTGGTGAGAGCTCTCTTCCTGGCTTGTAGACAGCCTCTTTCTTGCTAAGCCCTCAGGTGGTGGAGAGAGAGCAAGTGAACTCTCAAGGTGTCTCTTATAAAGATGCTAATCCTATTGGATCAGGGTTCCACCCTCATGACCTCATTTAACCTTAATTACCTCCGTAAAGGCCCTACCTCCAAATACAGTCATATTGGGGGTTGGGGCTTTAACATATGAATTTTGGGGGATCACACATATTCAGACCATACATAACACCATGTTAATAGCAATTATCTCTCTGAGATGGGATTATAGGAAATTTTCATTTTCTTCTTTCACTTATACATATTTTCTAAGTCTTCTATAAATAATATATCTATTGATCCTTTTGTCATGAGAAACACTTGTTTTGTTTGTTAACATTTGACAATCGTGAATGGTCCCTCTGTGCTGATGGCTCAGACCGGAAGCTTCCTGTCTTCCTGTTCTCAAGAAGCTGCCAGCAAAAGGGGGAAGCAACCCAAGTGTCCATCAGTAGATGAATGTATGAATAAAATGTGGTATATAACACAATGGAATATTATTCAGCTATAAAAGGAATGGATTTCTGAAACATGCTACAACTTTGAAGACATTATGATAAGTGAAGTAAGCCAGATACAAAAGGACGAATATTGTAAGCGGCCACTAATATGAAATACCTAGAGTAGTCAGATTCATAGAGTAGAATGGGGCTGGGGGAGGGGAGAACGGGGAGTTATTATTTAATGAGTATAGAGTTTCAGTTTCAGATGATGAAAAAGTTCTGGAGATGGATGGTGGTGATGGTTGTACAGCAATATGAGAGTACTTAATACTAGTGAAGATGATGCTGGGCTTCTGAAAAGTCAAGCCCAAGAAATTGTGTCTGGGAGTGAGGCTGGCTGAGTAGCTCAAGCTTCCCAGTGTTAAAAACCTGGGGTTACAAGAGAATCCCATCCGACAACTTGCTGAACACTGATCAGTGTGAATTCTGCCGTCTGCCTCCTCGTCCCCCAACTTGTGCTATTTGTCCTAACCTTGGATCCCCTCTGTCACCATAGATACCCTTGGACCACTGAGAGTTTTGTGTTCTCTGGAGCCTTGAGGTTCCTCAAAGGTGTCTCAGTGCTGCCACAGAAGTGGGGTGGTCTAAGGAGCGAAGGCTCTGGCCTTTTAAGGTTTATGGGTTTTTTTTTTCATAGTTCCCCAACCTGAGATTGAACCCGGACCCAGGGCAGTGAAAGCACCAAGTCCTAACCACTGGACTGCCAGGGAACTCCCAAGGTTTACATTTTGAATTCCCAAAAATTTTGTCCAAAGGGATTCCCTAGCTTTTATTTTTTTTAATGCAATTTGAACTTTACTCTTCTAGATTAATTTACCCTGGATTCTACCCAGCTCTGTCTGACAACTGGGTTGCCTGGCAGCAGAGCACAGGGAGGGATAGGGAAGCTGAGACCCAACCAGCTCTCTCCTGTAGTCAGATTTCAGCAGGAGTAAAGGTGTGGGTGCGGGAAGGCTGGGAAGGGTATAAACTCTAAAGTCTAAGGGCTGCCTGCGACCAAAATGAATCCCCCTGCACCCAACCCTGGTCTCGGCCCCTGGGCTCTCACCTGCACAGCCACAATAGCCCCAAAGCTGGTCTCCTCTTGCCCTCCTTACAATCTATTTGCCACACAGCAGCCTGGGGGGTTGCTGATCCCATCGCTCCCCTGCTTCTGACCCTCTAACAGTTTCCAATCATTTTCAGCATAAAGTCAAATTCCTCACCATGGCCTCCTACCCTCCCCTCTACATCTGGCCCCTGTCTCTCCTTCTGACCTAATCTCATGCCCCACTCCCCTCACAGTTCACTGAGGTCCCCCACTGCACTGCTGCTTTCTGTTTCTTAAATACACCTATCACTCCCACCACAGTGCCTTTGCACTGGCTGGTCCCTCCTCCTGGAAGTCTCTTCCCCCTCCAGCTTTTCTTACAACTGATGACTGGTGCTTTCCCACCAGGCAGGTCTCAGCTCAAATGTCACATCCTCAGGGTGGCCTTCCCTGACCACCCCAGCCAAGCCGACTGTCCTGCCCTGTAACTCTCTAGCACATGACCTGATTTCTTTCATTCACAGCACTTATCCAAGTCTAAAATTAACTTGTTTATGTGTTTATAAACACTGTCTGCCTCCATCTCCAGATTACATGTCCCAGAGTATGAGGACCCCATCAGCTGGTTCACCACTGTCTTCCAGCACCTGTGACAAGGCTCTAGGTAGACACATGATAAATCTCTGCCAAATGAATGAATAGATGAGGAATTGAGGGAGTTGGCAACAAAGAGATGAAAGGCACATCCAGGGCTCTAGACAGAGCTGAAATGGGCAGGGGCAGGTCCTCTTTGGAAAACCAGCTGCCCCACTTCTCTAGGCTTAAGAGGGGGATCTCCCTCTGAGCCAGCATCTGTCAACTCCCACAACCTGGGCCAACCTATCTCCTACAGCTGGGATGGAGCCCCAGATTCTTCCTGGTGCTGCCCTTCACTGACCTGTGTGCCCATCACCACACCCTCAATGTCTAGCACTCATCAACGGGGAGCCACCAGGAGTCAGTAGCACACTCTTTGGAAGGAGGCCTAATAGTAAGAAACATTAACAGCAGTTGTCATTTTGCGGACAGCTACACTGGGGTGGTATATTTATTAAGAACCCAGGTTCCAGAGCCAAACTCCCAGGTTCAGTGTCTGACACCACCACCTTGTAGCTATTTGACCTTGGGTCAGTTCCTTAACCTCTAGGTGCCTCAGTTTTCTCACATGTAAATGGAGAAAACAATAGTACCCACATTACAGAGTTGCTTAGAAGATTAAAGCACCTAAGGGAGTTCCAGACACAGACTACTTACAGAGATTGCCACATTAAGTGTGAGTATTATCACTAAGCATTATGCATCTATTGAGTACTCATTTGGGTTAGGGATGGTGCTAAGCATTTCGTTATCTCATTTGATCCTCACAGTGACCTTGAGAGGTGGGGTCATAGTTATCCCCATCTTACAGTTCAACAGACTGAGGCTCAGAAAGTTAAACTGAATCTCTCAAGGTTATCCAACTTGCAAATGGCAGAGTCAGACCACACATCTAGCTCTGTCTGCCTTCCAAATTCTTTTCAACACATCTCACTGTGTCTCTAAAAAGTGGGGAGTTTTCCAGAGTCCCCTTACCTGGGCTAGGCTGGGCTGCCTGCTGCATTTTCCCCCCCACCTTCCTGGCAAGGCACTCCCAGCCTTAGTCTCTCCTCTTGGCTAGGAGCTGGCTGGGTGGCTGGGATTCGTGTCTGGACGGCATATCAGGCAGCCACGCTCACTTTGCTTTCAATGCAGATGATTGGGAACTGCGCCAAGTTGCAGAGAGGGCATCATCGGCGGGGGCGGGGGTGGGGGTGTTGGATTTGTCAGCAGCTTCCTTCTGCTCCCCGGATGTGGCAGTGCCAGCACCAGCCTGTGGTCTGACATCACCAATTTCTTAAAAAAATCCTCCTGCCCCAGGACTGAGCAGAGGCACCTGGAGGCCCGTCTTGCTGCTCCTATGCGCCACCTCGAGGGCATTTTGGTTACTGCACCACCAAGCCTGCCGAAACCGCTCGGTGGGGGGAAAACAAAAGTCAACCGATTAAGACAAACGGTCCTAAGGGCAGCCGGCAAAGTGCAACCTTATTCTCTGTCACAGTGGTGGCCTTTGTGGTCTGTCCCCTGGTACTCCAGCTACAGTTCCCCGAGCACCATGCTCACTCATACTGCCACACCTCTGCATGTGCCATTCCCTCTGCCTGGGATGCCCTCAGTTGGCTTGTCTACCAGGCAATTCATCTTTCACTTCTCAGCACAAATACTCTCTTCCCTGAAGTCTCCTTTGACTTCTCCAGTCATGTTGAGATACTGTGTTCCCATTATGCGTTATATCTTCGAAAAACAAGCATTTTGGTGTCTGCCTCCACACTAGTGATTAGCTGTGTGAAGGCAGAGATCATGAGTTTGTATCTTTGCCTGGCTTTAGAGGCCACAAACTGGTGGGGGCTACAGATGTGTTTTGTTTGCCCTACTGTGTCTTAGAAAAATCTGAATATGTTGCCAATATATAAAATTGGGCGTTTCTTATGAAAATCTAATTGGCCAGCTTTCCTTAAAAAATTGGAAGGCATGGCACTCTGGGCCTGCATTTCCATAAAAGCATCAACCAGCTGGGGTTGGGTAGTGGGTATCCCCTTCAGACGGGCAGGTACTCTCCACTAGTCACCCAGTGTGTAAACATGCCCTTGACCCCTGGAGGATGCTGAGTTTGCAAGAAGGTGCTCAACAAATATGCTTGCTGAATGAATGAATGAATGAGAAAGATAAAATAGAGAGGTAGAGAGTGCAGGACACAGTCTGGGTAGTGGATAAAGTGAATTCACAAGACTTGCTTCTCTTCCTTTGGGTTGCCCACCCCCAATACTGAACCAGCAAGAAATGGCACAACTACTGGAAGGCCAAACATACTCTGCTTGACTGACCTTCAGAGAAAGAATGCATTATGGGAAGGGTGCCAAGAGACTTCCAGGCCACAAGGCAAAGTAAGGAGAGGAGCCTGAAGGTATAAATCCTTACACAAATGCCAAATGTGTTTATTGTAACGTTGAACCCAGAAATGGGTTGGTGCTCAGTGCTTCATTTTCGGATAGGACAGTCCTTCTTTATGCAGGGCTGTCCTTCACATCCGGGACATTTAGCATCTCTGGCCCCTGCCTACTAAGTTCCAGTAGTGCTCTTCTCCTCCCTCCCATTATTACATTATATTATAGACCAGATGTTTGTGTCTCCCTCAAATTCATATGGTGAAGCCTTAACTGCCAGTGTGATAGTATAAGGAGGTGAGGCCTCTGAGAGATAATTAGGTTTAGATGAGGTCACGAGGGTGGGGCCCCATGATGGGATTAACGCCCTTATTAGAAGAAGAGAGGGGCTTCCCTGGTGGCTCAGTGGTTGAGAGTCCGCCTGCCGATGCAGGGGACACGGGTTCGTGCCCCGGTCCGGGAAGATCCCACATGCCGCGGAGCGGCTGGGCCCGTGAGCCGTGGCCGCTGAGCCTGCGCGTCCGGAGCCTGTGCTCCGCAACGGGAGAGGCCGCAACAGTAAGAGGCCCGCGTGCCGCAAAAAAAAAAAAAAAGAAAGAAAGAAAAAAGAAGAAGAGAGATCACAGCCCGAAAGCTCCCTCTCTCTGTCATGTGCAGTCACAGCGAGAAGGTGGCTGTCTGCAAGCCAGGAAGAGGCTGCTTTAGAACCAGGATGATGCTGGAGCCTCAATTCCTAGGCCTCACCCATGGCAGATGTTGCTAACCGACTACAAAACTCCTTTCTTCTGACGTAGGATGCAGCCTCAGATTTGCTCTCCAAGTACTCCAGAGAGCCTCCACTCAATGGCTGGAGCTGGCACTCAGCTGCCAGGGTGGGGTGATGCAACACAGCAGCCCCATCAACATCCCAGGCCTGTTTTATCTCCATGAAACCTTAAACGACCTAATATTTGTGCCTCTTCTTTTCTTTCCAATGTCAGTCTTACTGGTGCGTTAGGCCTAACATACCTGGGCAGCTCCCACACACACTCCACTAGAAGCCAACACCCTTACCACTCCCTCTGGTCATCCCAGCATCCAGTACGGCCCCTGGACCTTAATCATTTGCCTTGATAGACCTCTAAGCCACTTCCTGGCCTGCCCTGCTCCCCCCTCGCCCTGCTTCTCCTGCTCTGACCTCTGACCTCCCTCCTGGATGACAGTTCATACTCCTCTCTCCATCCACAATCTCTCCGTGGTGATCTCATCCAGGTTTGTGGCTTCAAATGCTATCTACACGTTAATGACTGGAAACTATATTTCCAGCCCAGGATTTCTTCCTGAATTCCAGCCTCGTTTAAGCTATTGCCTATTCAACTTCTTCACCTGAACGATTTACACACCCCTAAATCCAACATATCCAAACCTGAACGCCTGCTCTCCCACCTCAAGCCTGACGTACACACAGTCTTCCCCATACCAGTCCATGGCAACGCCATCCTTGCAGGCGCTCAAGTGAAGAGTCCTGGAGTCATCCTGACATGTATTCTTCTCTTGTACCCCACATCCAGTCCGTCAGAAAATCCTGACAGCTCTCCCTTCAGAATATACCCGGGGTCCCCCACTTCTCCCCACATCCACTGCTGCCACTCTGGTCCAAGCCGCCATCATATCTTGCCTGAATTATGGACACAGTCTCCTGGCTGGTCTGTCTGCTTCTGCCCCTGGCCCTAACAATCTAGCACAGCAGCTAGAGGGATCCTGATAAATTCGGTCATAGAATTTCCACGCTCAGCAGCCTCCAGTGGCTCCTGTTTCACTCCATCTTCCAACTCCCCCTCTCACTTATTCACTCCAGACCCACTGGCCACCTCACTGCTCCTTGACCCTGCCAGGCACACTCCCACTTCCGAACACTTCGTTTGGAATGACCCCGATGTCTGCCAGGCTAATTCCTTTAATTTCTTTCACGTTTTTGCTCAAAGGTCACCTCCTCAGCGAGGGCTCTCCTGACCACTGCAGTGACCATCCTTCCCCAATCCCCCTCACTCTGCCCTATTGTTTTCCATTGCATTTATCACCTTTTGAACCATCGTGTGATTTACTTATCATATGTATTACCTGTCTCCCCCATGAGAAAAATAGGCCTCATGCCTGTGGGGATTTTTGTTTCTTTTGTTCACTGCTATATCCTTGGCACCTAGAACAGTTCTTGGCACATAGTAGGCCCTCAATAAATATTTGATGAATGAGTGACTTGATGATTTAGGGTAGATACCCTAACCAGTTCTGCCCAAGCCCAGAGATCCCAGTCCAGGTACAGTCTCTCAAGACCCGTTCTCACTGGGTTCGACTTGACCTTGAGAATGTTCCCCAAACAGTGATGGGGCAATAGTGATTGGTCAGCCACCCCAGTGAAGGAGCCACACCTCTGATTCAGAGGCCCACCCAGTCTTACTGTGTGGTCTTAGAAATCAGAGGCAACATAAGATATGACGTTTCCTCCTCTCCCCTGCCTCGGGCTTCCTCCAGTAAAACAGAGAGAGACACACATGCTGAACAGGACTGCTGGGGTGGAGAAGCCCATGGCTTCCTTTACCTTTCCATCGATGGTCTTTTTGGAGAGGAGGTGGCCGAAGACTTTGAGTCCACAGAGTCTCTCCTGAAAGAAAAGAAACTGGAGATGAGATACTCTCGTAGGCTAGCATGAGTACTGGTCTAGAGAGCTCAGAGGCTGGAGAGAAGGCATCCTGGAGCCAGGCCTGCTGCGCTGAGGATGACGAAGCCCACCTGGGAGGTGGGAGGGCACGTGGGCTTTCTCCAGTTGCAGTGAGCAGGGGCTACACTTCATAGAGTGTGCAGGCTTCTCATTGCGGTGGCTTCTCTTGTTGTGGAGCACGGGCTCTAGGCGCGCGAGCTTCAGTGGCTGCGGCACGCGGGGTCAGTAGTTGTGGCTCGCAGGCTCCAGAGCGCAGGCTCACCAGTTGTGGCTCGCAGGCTCAGTTGCTCCGCAACACGTGGGATCTTCCCAGACCAGGGCTCGAACCCGTGTCCCCTGCATTGGCAGGTGGATTCCCAACCACTGCGCCACCAGGGAAGTCCCCCAGCTCTCCTTTTAATTCCAGCACAAGTATCACCTTCTAACAGACTATTTGTTTACTTATTTTATGCATTGTCCCAGCACCTCTCATGTAAATTTCGAAAGAGCAGAATTTGGTGGGTTTTGTTCACTGTGGTGAATGCTGTCTCTGCTGAGCCCACATCATTCCTTGGGCACTCCTTCTCCCAAGTTCACTGGGGCCCAAGGGCTTCCTCCTGCAAAATCCCCTGGGCCTCTGCCCCAGGGAGTTCTCTGTGCCAGCCAGCGCCAGTAGACTGGTGGGCAGGAAGTGCTGGGGACTTAGCCCCAGGAGCAGCCCTCAACCAGACACGTGGAAATAGGTGGGCAAGTACCCCAGCTTCCTCGGCCCTCCAGAGGGTAAGTTGAGGTGTGTTCTCCACTGCTCTGCAGCAGGATGTAAGCCCTGGTGACCCAGGGCAGTTACCTGCCCATGAACGCACCCTGTGCCAGTTCCCTTCCCTTCCCTGTCTCACTTCCTCACTCCTCTGTCTGCATTTCCTGAAATCACTTCCAAAATAAGCCTCTTGCACTTGAATCTGTGTCTCAGGGTCTGCTTCTGGGAGGCCCAATCTAATATATTCAACTGACTTCTCCCAAGTGAATAGAACAGTGCCTGGCACAGAGTAGGTGCTCTATGAATGTTTGTTGCTGAATGCTATGAAGTCGAACAGTAAAGAAATATTTTAAAAAGTGGAAAAAGAAACCTGCCCAGAGCTAACAACTGTTAGGCTTAATGTCCTTCCTTCCAAATCTTTTTCTACACGCATATAAACATATATGACATTTATCATTCTAAAAAGGGAGGCAACGACATGACTTGTAATCTCAGCCCTGCCCCTGGGCAGGTCATGTTCTCTGAGCATCAGTTCCTTCATCTGTCAAATGGAGAGAAAAGTACCTATGTCTTGGGGCTGGCTGGGAAGAAGAATTTAGATCATTAACATCCCTCCAGCAGTTCCCACCACAAAGCTGTCCTCCATACTCCATAATCCTAGGTATCTGATTTCTGGTCTTCCAGATTATGCAAGGTTCCTGCATGGATTTCCAGCTCCCATCTCATCCTCCAGGTGGTCCGGGAGACAGTGGGTGAGGAAGGTTCAGGGGCCAGCTCTAATTATCCTGTGGACCAGACTCATCCAGCTCTGGACCTTTGCCCCAGCTTAAACACAGGGAGAGGCAGCAGAAAGGGAGAGGGGCAGAGACCCTCCTTCACATGCCCCTCCAGTCCCTGGGAGTTCCTCTGCGGGGTTCCTCCCCGAGTGCCCCATGGGGATAGACAGGTGCAGGCAGAGCCGGAAGCTGAAATTCTTGCAGCGGGAGAAAGGAGGGAAGATGTGAGCCTCTCCCCACAACTCCCGAGACTCCCCATTTTCTGGCCCTTCCTCAATGCTTTTCCTTTCAGAACAAACCAGAAATATTCTGCAGTTTTGGCAAATGATCATTATGAAAACTATTCAGGAACATGAGAAAATGCCTAGAATACACTAGGAAGATAACTGAACAGGGATGTAATAGTTTGTAGACTCTGCCCACAGGAATTGGGAAATTATGTATGTAAGTAGATCAGGACAGGGAGGGAAGAGAAGAAAATGAAAGCTGTTTCATTTGTCAGAAGTGGCAAATTGTGAAGAAATATTTTTAATTCTTACTTTACATTTTACTAATGTGGTTATACTGTTTATATAATAAATAATGATAATGAATTGTCATTAAGAAAACTAAAAAGAAAGGAAGTTCATCAACTGAGCTGAAATAGGACCCCTGCCCACTAGATTCTCCCAGCAAGGTGGGGGGACCACTGTCTGCACAGCCATGGTGACAGCTTCATCTCATAGCTCCAGCTGTGAAAAGTGAGCTGGCATTAACAATTCAATGCCCCAGGATGTTGTTATCTGTAAAATGCTGGTTACAACACAGTACATACAGTGAGGTCCCAATTTTATTAAGAAAATACAACTCTCTCTCTATATGTTCTTAAAAAAGGTGAGAAAGATATACATCAAAATGTTAACAGTGTTATTTCTGTTATTTTCTTCTTGGGTTTGACTTTCTAAACTTTTTATAAATGTGACTCACCGTTGAAATAAATATATTACGTGAAAATGCTACAAAATAGAACGTAGAGTTTAATTCCATTTTATTAATACAATAAGTGTTTCATGGGTAAATGCATAGGAAAAATTCTAGAAGGATATATATATATATGTATACACACACACGCACATACATTTTATATATAGTGAGATAATGACGCTTAGGCCATAATACTGAGTCTCAGGGTCTAAGGGTGTGTGTAAGTGATTAAGTTCAGCCCAGAATTTGGCTTTCTGCTTTCCAACCATCTCCTTGCCATTACCTATTGTCCTTGTAGGCCTTTAAAAGAAATCCCTTTGCTGATCATTCAGTGGGATTTGGGGAGAGAGCAAAAGGAAACACCTGTGTTCAGGCTGCCATCTGTTCCCAGACGTCTGCACTCGCTATTCCACGGATTAGTCCCGTATCCCATTTGGTCTCCTCAGCCTCTGTCTTTCAACTACATCTCACAAGATCCTGAGGCTTCATTTGCTAAGGTGCTCAGAACCAAACAGTTGCTCCAGACATGGCCAGACCAGCCAGAGCATGAATTTTCCACAGGGGACTGCAATGGTACAGCTGGACCTAGCAGTATTCAATAAATGCTCACTCCATGCTGGGCACGGTGGCTCACAGGATCCCTGGCAGCCAACCTTCTAACCCGTTTGGTAAAACCAAACACACCATGTGAAAAGTTAATGCCAATCAGGATTTCTCCAAGTGGGATACAATTGCAAAATTAGCAAAATGAAAGGAATAGAACATACAAAAGATTACACAATCATTTGACAAGTACTGCATTTTAAAAAGCAGACTATAAAATTGATGATGACTATAGAAAACAAAGAGAAAATAGAAAGAAAAAACATAGGCCAAAATATTAATAGTGATTGTTTTGGGGTGGTGGGGATGTAAGTGATTTTTTTCCTACTTTTTATTATTTATTTATTAAAATTTATTTTATTTATTTATTTTTGGCTGCATTGGGTCTTCACTGCTGCATGTGGGCTTTCTCTAGTTGCTGCGAGCAGGGGCTATTCTTTGTTGTGGTGCGTGGGCTTCTCATTGTGGTGGCTTCTCTTGTTGCAGAGCATGGGGTCTAGGCGCAGGGGCTTCAGTAGTTGTGGTGCGCGGGCTCAGTAGTTGGGGCTCGCAGGCTCTAGAGCGAGCTCAGGCTCAGTAGTTGTGGTGCACGGGCTTAGCTGCTCCGCAGCATGTGGGATCTTCCCAGACCAGGGCTCAAACCTGTGTCCCCTGCATTGGCAGGCAGATTCTTAACCACTGCGCCACCAGGAAGGCCCTAAAAGTACTGTTGTTCTGATTTCAAAAGCAATACAGAATCATTGTGAAAAAACCAATACAGATGAAAAAATTTTATTGTAAAACACAGAATATGAAGCTCTTCTTAATTACAATCACACAGATACAATTTTGTTTTTTTTAAAGATGGTTTCATTATTTTTTCTCATTTCAAAATTGGTACATATTTATTGGGAAAATATTAGGAATACAGAAATTTGCAAAAAGAATAAGAGGGACTTCCCTGGTGGTCCAGTGGTAAAGAATCTGCCTTACAATGCAGGGGGCACGGGTTCAATCCCTGGTCAGGGAACTAAGATCCCACATGCCGCGGGGCAACTAAGTCTGCGCGCCACAACTACTGAGCTCGCGCACCTCAACTAGAGCCCGCGTACTGCAAACTACAGAGCCCACACACCCTGGAGCCTGAGCGCTACAACTAGAGAGAGAAAACCCGCACGTCATAACTAGAGAGAAGCCCGCGCACCGCAACGAAAGATACTGCATGCCTCAACGAAGATCCCGCATACCGCAGCTAAGACCCGATGCAGCCAAAAATAAATCTTAAAAAAATTACATCTTAAAAAAAAAAAAAGAAGATGAAGAAAAAAACCTCTCAATCTTACCACCCAGAAACAATCACTATTACCATCCTGGTGTATATCCTTCATGTCTTTTTTCCTATGCATGTACATAAAATTCACTTATTTAATTTTTATAAAAATGGAATCATACTATATAGTACACTATATAGTACACAGCTTCACTTAATACTTAGTGAATATTTTTCCACGTCATTAAATATTCTTCCATTCTCTCCATGGGGGCCCTATTGGCATTTTGAGCATAATAAATGGTTCTTTGGTGTGTAGGACTATTCTGTGCATTGTGGGAAGAGTAGCACGGAGCATCTCCTCTGCCCCACAGTTATTTTTACAACTAAAAATGGGAGTAGTGTGGTGGAGGTATATCTCCCTCCTGGTCAAGAAACACTCCTCTTATTGCATCATTTCCTAAAAACACTTATTTCATAGAATTATAATAAATATTCATTTAAAAAGCGTTCAGAGGAAAAAATGTTTCAGAAATGTCAGCTGAAAAACATTACACACAGAACATAACATCTGTATGTTTAATCTGATTAATTCATTAAAATGAATTCCTTGTAGTGGATATACTTGGCAAAAAAATGTATGTACGTTAAAAATGTTGGTATATCACGATACTATCTGTATTATCTAGTACCATCAGGTACCATTCAGTGTTATCTAGTCTCACCCCCTTATCTATTAGATGACCCCCTCCCTAAGGAATTAAGTGATCTTTCTAGTCACACAGGGAATAGGTAGGACTTACTAATCCATCCATGAAGGCTTTTATCTACCGTCATGGATAAGGCGTTTGGGTCTATCAGAAAGTCATGCATTTTGGGGGACCCTGGCTGGGGTGGGCAAAGGGGAATGGGCACGGTGTTGAGACCTCAGCAGAGGTCTGGGGGCCTGACAAAGATGGGAATCCCATTCTGTCACATAATGGCTGAGTGATCTTGGGAAAGGCCCTGCTCCCCAACCTTCAGCTTCCGCGTCGCAAATTGGCAATTTGAATAAAGAGCCAACAAAACACTTTTCCTTCTCTGTGGACAAGTTCCTAGCCCCATTTACCTGGAACCCTGACAAAGGTGGAACGTCAGCTGTACTACTAGGCAGCGTTGCTTCTAGTGCAAATGAGTACTGATTGGTAAACTGTGTCTAGACACGAAGGGCTATGAAAGAACTATAAATGATTAGTGGAAAATCACGGCTTTTGGGCTCCCCTGAGTGCAGTGGTCATTGCTCTTGTAACTGGTCATTGCCCTTGCTGGGATCCTGGAAACTTTGTCTATGGGACTGTTATAAGATTTAGGACGTGGGCCTTCTAAGTCAGGGGCTTCCTACCCATTGTGGTCTCATTCTCTGCACCTGAGAATGTCACCTGGGTGGGCCAGAGAATAGCTCTGGACGCTGCGTGGTCTCCTGTGAGAATTCTTGGTGATGAGAAACACCTGAGGCTACCATGCTGGCACAGTGCATCTCCTGTCACTGAATCCTTCTAGGCAAAGCCTGTGTCACGGATGGCCTGTTTGGGTCTTGTGAGTCTGTCTGGTTGAGCCAAGAAGACCCCCAGAGGGGGCACTGTAGGAGATAATAACAATAACCACCTCCTGGTGTGTGAGGATTAAATGAAGTTATGTAAACAGAGGTGTTGCCATAGGATGTGACAAGTGTCAGCTCCCTTCTCTCCATCCCAGAAAAAAATACCTGTCTTTGGGCTCTTCCACTCGCTTTTTCCTTGGTGGAGAAAGGCTTGTCTCTGGCTTCCAATCTGAACAGTCAAGCCCGTTTTCCTTCTTTGCTTTTACTCTTTCCTCTCCTTTTCCTCCTTTAGGGGGTGCTGGGGAGTGTAAAAACAAAATGGTGACGTTGTTCCTTAACTCTCTGTCTCAGCCCAACCCAGGACCTGGGGAGGAAGGAGCAAAGGTCAGGGACTGAGATAGCCTCCCCTTCCCCCAACAAACACCTGTTTAGAAACAAGCGCATATCCAATATGCACATGTGTGTGCAAACCGAAGCTCACACATGGGGACAGAAAGACCTCTGCACACACCTATGCACATATTCATATCAATGTGTATATACAGATATATACAAACACACAAGCACACAGATATATATACATAGGAACATGTACAGGAAAACCCACCCATCTACAAATCTCCCACTTGTTTAGACAAGCACTGGCAGTCCCACTAGAGGCCATCTGTCACTTATTAAGTCATTCAACAACCATACACTGAGTGCCTGTTATAAGCCGGGCACCGTCCATCCAGGTGCTGGGAGGAAAACTTGGCCCAAGCGACCCTGCCCCTCTCACCCAGCAGCTGCTTCCAGTTTCTGATGAGGACTTTGGCCAAGGACACCACCTCCTTGTCAGAGCAGTGCTTGCGGACCCCATTCACGGCAACTCCAATCCTGGTGGTCTGCAAAGCGAGAGGGTTAGTGGCCGGTCTGGAAATTAGGACCCACTGGACTGGCTGCCCTAACTGGCAAGACCTGCCCCAGCTCAATCACCCCCTTCCCCTGGCCCAGCCTCTTCCGAGTCCCAGCCTGGACCTGTGGCTGAGGTAATAACCCTGACCTTATAACCGAGGCCCTGACCTGCTGTCCTGAGTGAGGTCAGTGCCCAAGGCCCAGCGCCCTGCAGGGATGGGTAACTGCGGCTCTGGTGAAAAGCTGGAGCAGTGGTGGTGGGTCTGGCTGATGACCAGGACTCCTCCCCATTCTCTGCCCCCTGGTGTCTTTGAGTTCAAATTTCAGCTTAAGGCACAGCTCTGGCTACTACAGCTTGGGTATGTGCTAATTTTTCAGGGCCAAGAGCTTCTGGTAAAGTTTGGGGGCTACATGCGTAACACATGGAGGATCTAAAAATGGGGGGCTTTTCCCTCTCCCTGAGTCACTGGCCTCTTGGATCCCACAGGCCCAGGGCCTTGGGAATTGGGGTACACAAGGAAAGCAAGTCAGTCTTTCCCCCAGACCCAGAGGGCCCCGAGGGCTTAGAAGCTACCCTGCCATCATCTAAAGGCCTGGGTTCCCACCCCCAGAGTAGCTCAAGATCCCATCCTGCCGCCTTCCCTTCAGAAATTCCTCCCAGACCCCATCCTTGGAGGGTTCCCCCTAAAGGGTCTTTCCCTACCCCACAAAGTCACCCTCCACTCCAGGCACTGCCCATCCCCACCCACCTGGAGTAGCTGGATGGACATCTGCCAGCTGTTCAGCTTCTTCAGAAGGTCGAGGGCCCCTTCCTGTGGGAGGCCACAAGGTGAGGGCTGAGGCCCGTGGGGTCTGCCCCAGGCCCCTCTCTGACCGTTGAGTGGTCTCAGTGGGAAGGAGGGTGGCAGGAGGTAGGAAGGAGACTCTTCCAGTGACAGGATACAGGCAGCCAAGTGGTCGAAGAACAGAAGGAGAGAAGGAAAAGCTTCTGCCCCAAACCAGCTCTTTAACTTCACCTCCTACCACCCAGCTGGGTTCAAGCCCCTCTGAGCCAGGGTCCAGCCCTACCCATTCACCCAGACCCCCAGCCATTGGTTCTGCTGTTCCTTCCACTGGGCATTCTCTTCCCTTCCCCATCTCTTCCTCTAAAATTAATTGCTTCATGGCCTATTGCTTCTGCTTTTATGTCTGTATATGCCTCCCCTCACTTCCCAACAGGGAACGTCTGTAGGTTGAGGACAGTGGCTTTTTCTAAACAGCTTTATAGAGGTATAACTGACGTACAATAAAACGCACATGTTGTAGGCTACAATGTGATGAGTTTTGACATACATATACTCCCCTGAAACCATCACCACAGTCAAGATAAGGACATAGTCAGCATCCCCGACATTTTCCTTGTGCCCCTTTGTTATACATCCCTTGCTGCACCCCCAACCCCTCTAGATGAGCTTGCATTTTTAAGGATTTTATAGAAAGTGACTGTAATGGAATTTCGCATCTGGCTTCTTTCACTCTGTAATCATTTTGAGATTCATGCACATTGTAGCACAGATCCACAGCTCCTTTTTATTTTTAAGTTGTTTGCCATTGCATGTATATACCACAATTTGTTTATCCATTCACCTGTTAATGGGACTGTTAGGTAGTTTCCAGTTTGCAGCAATTACAAATAAAGCTGCTGGGAACGTTCATGTACAAGTGTTTGTGTAGACATGTACTTTCTTTTCTCTCCGGTGAAGAGGACTGAATCTCTGAGACCTCTGGGTTCAGCATGCTGAACTCATCACTGAGGGAGCATCTCCCTGAGTGAATGAAGAAAGCAGAAAGCAGAAAGCAGTGGGGGAGAGTGGGAGGGGAAGAAAGGAGACTCGGATGTGAAAAGCTGTTGGCTGCCAGGCCCTGAACAACCCCTGACCCATTTCAGCCTTCTCTTTCTTTCCACCCACTTCCTAGAAGCCAGCCCCGGTCTCCTGTCCTGAGATGGGTTCCCTGGGGAGCACCAGCTGACTGTGTTCTGTATGCCCCGAGTCCTGGTCCCACTGTGCACTGCCAGCCACCAAGCCCCTCCCTATTAGTCTTCCTGGGCCACATCCCAAGAGCTGCCCTCTGTCAGTCCTCAGCCTCCCTTAGAACTTGGGTTCATAGTCTGTTTTCCAAGGTGTGACCTGCGGATGTGTGTGCACGTGAACTTGTGGGCACATAAGCCTGCATGTATCACTAATTAAAGGCTTATTATCTGCTGGACACGGTTCTAAGTATTTTACATGCATTATCTCTTCTAACTCTCTCAATGACCCCATGAGGTAGGTCCTATTACTATTCCCATTTTTACAGAATCATTATCCCAGTTTCAGAGAAGAGAAATAGGAACTGAGCTGGGATTCAAACTTAGGCCGTTTGGGTTCGACCCAATATACAACCATGTAGGTAGGTATGGACATAGGTCTGGCTAGATGTGTGCAATCATGAAATATCAACATGGGTAAGTGCAGTGGTATGTTGGTCAATGTTTAACAACAAGTTCTCAAAGGAAAAAAATTGATTTGTAGTGTTTGCCCATTTCTGTGGTGTCAATACTCCTCCCATGGCCAATGTCAAGATACCAATATGCTGTGACTGACCCGAAGGAGGTATTGGGAAGAGATGTGTGATGTGAAACCATATTGATATAACAGAAGTAAATAACCTCCAGACCATAGATGACAGTAAAATGCAATAAAATAATAAAGAAGTGATGATTTTGGAGTATTTATGACCTTTTTTTTTTTTTGTGGTACGCGGGCCTCTCACCGTTGTGGCCTCTCCCGTTGCGGAGCACAGGCTCCAGACGCGCAGGCTCAGCGGCCATGGCTCACGGGCCCAGCCGCTCCGCGGCATGTGGGATCCTCCCGGACCGGGGCACGAACCCGCGTCCCCTGCATCGGCAGGCGGACTCTCAACCACTGTGCCACCAGGGAAGCCCTATGACCTTTGTGTTTAATATAATTTATTTAATTGTAAGCATATAATTTAATGTTAAAAATAATGGCTGTATTTAACAACTGGCTTGCAAAATTCCTGAAAGTTCAACAGTGTTAAGCCAGTTCCAGCTCACCACTGGGCGTGTGCCTCTGCATGTCACACTGTATAACTGGGTCATGTTGGAGAACAGCCATGAGCCTGGGTTGTAGCTGGACTCACAAAGCCTTGTGCAAATGTTGCCAGCTGTGTCTCTCTGCTTGCACGAATGGGATGTGCAGCCAGCAGTATCTCTGGTCCAGGTGGGGAGCTGCTGTGTGTACGCTGCTCGAAGCATAATGTGTCTATTTGTCTGTGAGGGATGATGACCGTGTCATAACACGTCTGAACATGTAAGTGTGGCTGTCTGCTCAGTTTGTAGATTTGCATGTCGGGGTGTAGCTTATTGTGTGTATGCACACGCATAGGCATATGTGTAGTTGTTTTTGTGTATCCTTCTGCAAATATAATGGTCAGTGTGTCAGTCATGTCAGGGTCAGTAACCACGTCCTTTATGTAATTATGTTCATAGTTACTTGTTTAGCTATACTGTGTGTGGCTGCATGTATGTAGTTATGTTTGTTGTCTGTGATCATGAGGATGTTTGGCTGTAAGTCTGAAGCTGTTACAGTTGCTGCGCGCTCCCAGCATCTGACAAAAGCTCTAAGTTGCTGGGACTTCAGTAATTGGCAGTAAACCCTGGGCCTGAGCTGCAACGTGGAAGATCCGTCTTATTACAGGAAGTGTGTCCTCCTCTCCCTAACCACCACTGGGCGGGCCCACTTTCGCTCCCAGAGCAGGCCCCACCTTTCTAGGTCACATGCCCAGAGCTCTGTGCCCACCCAGATGCTGCCAAGAACCCAGGCGCAGACGTGGCTGCAGACTGGCTCTGTGCTACAGGGACCCTGAGGCCAGACTTGCATCTTTCCTGGAGAAAGCTCTGGGTACTTCCACAGGAATCCTCGCCAAGGGACACCATTTCCTCTTCCCATTTCACAGAAGAGGAAATCGAGGCCAGAGAGGGAAAGTAGAGTGGTGGGTCTAGGTCCATAAAAGGAGTGAGGGGAGGCCAGGGCAGGTCCCTTCCTCCTCAGCCAAGGTGCCTTTCTCAGGTCTCCTAAGCTGCCCCCGCACCCCTCACGCAGAGGTCCAGAATCTCCTGGCCCAAACCTGGGGTCAGCAAGGGGCAGGGCTGGGATAACCTGTCTACTTGAGTTGGAATTTGGTTCAGGAGCCCCGGGCTCGGCTCTGCCGCCCCCAGTTGAGCCTGATGACTTGAGGCTCAGTTTCACTGACTTTGGAGCATCCTGGAATGGGGGCTTCCGACACTCTGCAGGTTTCTGTGTCTCCTCTGGCTGTGCAAAAGCAGGAGTCACTCTCTAAGCCTTCCCAAGCACCAGTCCAGGTCTCCCTAAGGGTTTCACATCTCTTTCACCCTCACCACCACCAGCAGAGACAAAAATCCAGTGACATTCCTTCCCAGGAGGTAGGTATCTTCTTACAGATGAAGAAACTGAGGCTCTGCTCTTCATATGGACACCAACTCATCACTGCCCGTGTCTACTGGAGAGCTCCCTGACACTCCATGGATCCAGTGACCTCTCCCTCTTCCCTGCTCTAAAACCACCCTTAGGGTCCTTCCCTCTCTCAAGCTCCTAGGATTACAGAATGTGCTGGAAACGCAGGTCCTGCTCCAGCACATGCCTACAGATGGTGGGAGGAGGAGGGCTCTGGGACAGGGCAAAGTGAGGGACCTGCCTGCTGGTCTACCCTCCTCTCTCTTCCCTCTCCTGGTGAGTTCCAGCCCTCCCCATCCCAAGGCCAAGTTTGCTTGTCTAGGCAACAGGGCGGCAGCCAACTTGAGGCAAAGATCACAGGGAGGATCAAACATTAACCTCAAGTCGGCCAGCGCTGAGGGCTCCTGGCACTGAGCGCTCAGGGATCCGCAGGTAAGGCTTCCATCCCTCATTGCCCGCAACCTCCGGGCCCCTCTCTCCCCGCAGCCTCCTCCGCCCCGCAGCCCAGGCCTGCAGCCGGTCCCCCTTCCCCCGCCCCGCGGGCCCCATGGGCACAGCGGCTGCCCGACACCTGTTCGGCCCCCGCCCGCCTGGGCCCCAACCCTCGGCCAAGGAAAGGGAGGGTTGCAAACAGAGCAGCTCCTGGAGCCTCAAGCTGTGGGGTTGCGGGATCCGAGGCCCTTCGCTTTTCTCCGCCAGATCCACTCCCGGGGTGCGGCGTAGACGCGGCTCAGCACCCCTCATCAGTTCAAGTTTCTTTGCCCCTTCTCGGGTCACCCAGGATTTTGTTTTCCCCAGTCTCCGGCTCCCCCGTCCCGCAGTCACCGCCGCTCCCCGGGCTTTGCACACGCCGAGTCCCGGGGCTTCGAAAGTCCTTTTCCAGCTGCCGGTCTCTTCACTCTCTTTCCCGGGCCCTGCACAAGCTACCCAGGGGCCCCAACCCTGCAGGTCCAGGCGTACGTGCACAAGCCCAGTCTTTGGGGCCGGCACTGTCCACCCCGGAGCCCCGGGCCATGCACACGCCCACCCCGAGGTGCCAGCAGTCCCCAAGGGGCGCTGAGCCCTGCCCCGGCCGTGCCTCCCTCCGGTCCCCGAGTCCCGCACGCGCTTCCCGGGCGTCCAGCCAGCACAGGCCCCCGGAACTCCCGGGCTCGCACGCGCCGCGCCTCCCGGGGGCTGGGGCTGTGGCCCGAACTCTGCAGCCTCACCGTGTTCTTCCTGGCCACCATCTTCTCCAGCTTCTTGGCGATCCTCAGCAGCTCCTCTTCCTGGCCCATGTTGGCCCGCGACGCCCGGCGGGACGAGGGGCGCAGGGGCGGCAGCCGGGTTTCGGGTGCCGGAGGCGCAAAGGCTGAGGGCGCGCAAGCCGCGCGGGCCCCAGACACACACGCCCGGCGGGGGCGGGGCTCTCCCCCCACACCCCCTCGGCCGCCTGCCTCCCGGCAGTGGGGGAGGGGTGGCGTGCACTAAATATAGACTTCAAGGACTCGCCGGGGCAAAGATTGCCCGCGCCCGCCAGTCGGGCCACCCGAGAGAGGGACGAGGCTGCGAGAGCGGGCCCTCCACCTCGGGCCTGTCCTGGGGCGCCGGGAGCTGAAGGGAGATTTGGGAAGGAGGGCTCTCTGGCGAATGGGGAGGCCATCGTCCCTGGCCACAAGAGGCTGTTGCGGCGAGGAGGGCACCCGAGGGTGCCCCGGGAGCTTCCAGAAGAGTTCTGGGCTCCCGTGTCTCTGCACCGTTGCAGCTCAAAGCCAGCCGACCTAGTTCATGCCTATGCCCAACTGGAGGCAGTTTGGTACGCTTGAATCACATTATTTTGCATGATCATTAAATCCAATTCTGTCCTACCCTGTGCTCACTATTCGTGCACACGCGTGTATCCAGGCCCACTGTTGCCCTCAATTTTGTTTGTTACAGTGAGGTTTTGCATTTCTAACAAGCTCTGCGAGTGCTGCTGGTCCCACGGACTACACTTTGAGTAGTGAGGGCTTGGGAAACTCTTAAGTGCACCAAACTTTGAGAAACCCGTGTCCAGGTGCATGTGCCCTTTATTTAGTCGGGGTCAGGACACTGCCTCCCCAGTGGGGTTGGATCTGGAAGGAAGGAAACAGAATCATGCCTCCACAGCTGTGCACACATCTGTGTTCCTGTGGAAGGACCTTCCAAGTGTCCCCAGCAGACCCAGATCCCTTCCTAAACGTGAGTTTAATTGATAGAAAATGACCTATGTGTGTGTGGAGTGTGTGTGTGGGTGCTTATGGGCCTGGAAGGGAGGCATGAAAAATGGTCCGCAGTATGTGGGGATGGGAAGCTGTGGCTTGGAGTGTTCAGTGAAATCTCCAGACTTTCCTGAGAGAAACTTAGAGAACCTCATCCTCCATCACAGGGTGGACTCACCTGGCTTCTGATGACAAATTGAAATTAACACAGAGTGATCACAATTCAGGCATACAAAAATGGAGTCCGGTAGCAGTTGAGGATCTGGTTTCAGACACATCTCTGCATCACTGAAAACCTGAACTTTCTTTGAGCTGTACCAGATCCATGGACATCACCAGGGTACTCAGAACAACACTTGCCAGCTGCAAACCCTATGGTCTCAAGGTCTCCCCTTGGAATTATGCAACCATTTCGGACCCCAACCAATCCTTATTAAATAAGCACCTTTACTTCTGGCCAGCTCCAATTGTAATTCTTGACAAACAACTCCTGTAACTAACTGTAACCTTGCGGTTTCTGCCTTTATAAGCCTCCCCATTTTGTAGTCCTGCAGAACACATCCTTTAAATATATATATATATATATATATATATATATATATAATTTATTTATTTATTTTTGGCCCCCTTGGGTCTTTGTTGCTGTGGGAGGGCTTTCTCTAGATCTGGCGAGCAGAGGCTACTCTTCTTTGCGGTGGCTTCTCCTGTTGCAGAGCGCAGATTCTTAACGTCTGCGCCACCAGGGAAGCCCTGAAGCGCTTCTTGAATCTGTGTCTCCAGGAGTGCAGTGCTAACAAACCCCAAATAAGCACCTTGTTTTTCAATCAGGCCTCCATTTCTAAAATTTTGGTTAAATCTTCTAACTGTGCTGGGACCAAGGGAGGAAGGGGTGGGTTTCTCATTCATTCAACAGATACATATTGAATGTCCAAGCAATGAATAAGACAGACCCAGTCCCAGCAAGCTTGAAACTCAGTCTATGGGTAAGAAAAACCTTAAACAAACATGGACACCATCAATTCTGTGTTATCACAACTGGGGTGAGGGTCAGGAAGAAGCAGAGGATAACTTGCAGACGTCTGAGGGGACTTGCACCATTTGGGGTGTCATGTTCTCTGAAGAAATGAAGTTTAAACTTTGGGTGGAAGTGCTGAGTGGGAGCTGGGGGGAGGAGGAGAGAGTGTTAAAATAAGAGAAGAAGAAACATTTATACATATATTTATTGAGCACCTACTAGGTGCCAGAACTTTTAGCCCTGAGCATCCTGAGAGGTACACATCAGTCCTCCTGGAGCTCCGAATGTGCAAAGCCTGGGGAAGGGAGGGTGCTTCACGTGTCGGGGGTTGAAGGAAAAACTGGTGTGGCTACAGGACAGCGATGAGAGGGGTGTTCGGAGGGGAGGGGAAGAGAGTCGGGGGTGGGTGGGGCCTGACCATGAAAAGCACTGTAGGCCACTTTTAGGAGGTTAGACTAAAACTTCTTGGCCAACCCCCAAGCAAGCCCCTCTGGATTGAAGAGACAGCTGTCTGCAATTACTTAGGATTGCCTTTTAGAAAAAGCAGATTTGAGTTTCCTCAAACTTCCACCCAGCTCCCACTGTGAGTTGAGTGACATCAAAAGAAGCCAAGGGCTTCCCTGGTGGCGCAGTGGTTGAGAGTCCGCCTGCCGATGCAGGGGACGCGGGTTTGTGCCCCGGTCCGGGAAGATCCCACATGCCACGGAGCGGCTGGGCCCGTGAGCCATGGCCGCTGAGCCTGCGCGTCCGGAGCCTGTGCTCCGCGGCGGGAGAGGCCACAACAGTGAGAGGCCTGCGTACCGCAAAAAAAAAAAAAAAAAAAGAAGCCAAGACTTCAGGGCTTGAAAGACCCTAAGAAAACATCGTCCAACCCTTTCTTTGTACAGATTGGAAGACTGAGGCCCAGTGAGGCCCAGGATTGCCCTGCTCAACCGTATCAGACACGTCAGTACCCTCTACATCCCCTCTGCCTACCCATCCACCTTGGAGGTCACCAGCAGGCAATTCCTGGACACACCTCTGACAGCTTCCTGCATCTCTCTGACTGAGGGCTTCAGGGCAGCCTGGAAGTAGAGAATTAGGAATTGACACCCCCAGAGAGGAGCCTTGAACCAGCGAGAGACCAGAGTTGGTAGTAAATACACCAATTTCTTCACTCCTGATGGGATAACTTGAAGGTACGTTCCTTTTTTTACACATCCCTATACCCATTGTGTTTCCTGGGCTCACCTCACAAATAAGCAGGGACTGTGGCAGAGTTAAACTGCAGGTCTCCAGACTCCTAGTCCAGTGCTCTTTCCTCACACCAGGGTTTCTCAACCTCGGCAGTATTACCATTTTGGACTGGATAATTCCTTGTTCGCGGGGGCTGGCCTGTGTACTGAAGAATGTTTAGCAGCATCCCCGAACTCTAGCCACTAGATGCCAGCAGCATCCTCCAGTTGGGAACAATAAAAAATGTGTCTTCCTTGTCAAATGTCCCCTGGGGGAAAATCACCCCTGGTTGCAAACCACTGCTGTACACCAGGCTGTCCCTCTTAGCAGGTCTAGAGAAAGAATTCCAAGCCCTCAGAATCCCTCCCCTTCCCGACGGCTCTTCAGAGAACATAAATGAAACCACTGAAATTTACTCTGAAAAATCTTTTATTAGAGATGAGTGAAATAACAAGACACTGGGGGCTCTGAAGACAACCTCGCTCCTGTGGGATCGCAGACCTGTCAGGTCTCCAGGGTAAACAGCGCAGCCTCCCAGACCAGGCTGCTGCATTGGCCATTGGCATCCTCTGGCCTCCCCTGTTTGTCCTGGTCCATCCCTGCCAGGGCCCAGCGCCCAGTGCCTATAAAGCTGACCTGTTAGAGACTGATGATGGCTTAGGTGTATCTGTTTTCCAATATGGGCCTGAAAGTGACGGTGGAATTTCTGGCGCTGGAAAGTAGAACCTTTAAGTCTCCACCCTCCATTTCTATCACTCTCCTTTCTCCTTTCTTGGTCCTTTCCTGCCCCGAGACTGGAAGGTTCCTGAGTTGACTGAGAAAGAGGAGAGAAGTGAGGATAATCATTCCAGACTATTCCTTTCATTCTTGCTAAATCAAGGAGAGTAAGCAAATAGGGGGTGAACCCTCCTTTACTTCCTGGCTGGGAATCTATTATAACAGAGGTCCCCAGCAAGGCTGTGCTGTCCCTCAAAAGGAGTGGTATTCAGAATATTTATTTAACAGCCAGTACAGCATGGGCACTGAGAAACCAGAATGGACACAGGCTGTAGACAACTGCAGTGCTATTCAGGTGTAAGCCAAATGATTGTCAGTCTGCCCCTAAGCCCAGGACCATCCTCTGGAATCTAGCCCTGTCCATTTCCAAGCCTAATTCGTGGGACCGGCTGCCCAGAAAGGGACCACATCTGCAGGACCTTTGTCTTATTCCTGTGACATCTGCAGTGCCTAGCACAGGAATGGACAGAGCCAGAACTCAGTCAAAGAATACTAGGCTGATGAATGGCTGAGAAGACAGTCCCTAGTCTGGCAGAATCCCTGGCCTGCAGAATAATGAAGGCAGGTTAGAGCCCCCCAGACTGATGGAAGAAACACAGTCCTGGTCTGATGAGGGACTGGAGGTTCTGCAGTTGGAGCTGGGTCAGGAGCACTTGGGTCCAGCCATACGGCTCCCTGGTCCCTGGCAGGTATGAGATGGAGACAAACCGCCATCAGCCCTAACATGGAGGGGCCCAGTGTCCTTGGCAGGGGCGTGGGCCCATGTCAGGGAGGAAGGCCAGCCACAGAGGCACAGGGGACAGAGACAGCAAGACCCCAGGGCATAAACACCTCAGCTCCCCAGTCTTGTGGGCTCAAGTCCTAGCTCTGAATGCTGGCATCCAGCATGGGGGTGGTTCAGGCGTGCAAGGGCTAGTAAGGAGCTAGTCTTGCAAAAGCTGCACAGAACTTGCTGGGAGAACCCCAGTCCTTGAACCGTCTCCTTCAGTGAAGCCAACCTGGGAAGAGAAGGATGAACATTGACATTTCTTAAGCACCTGTTATATACCAGCTGTTTATCTCACTCAGTTTCAAAAGGTCCTATTGTGGGAACATGAAATTATCCCTATTTTACAGCTGAAGCTGAAGCTTGAAGAAGTGAAGCCACTTTTCCAAGACCTCCACGCTTCAAAGCCCAGGCTCTTATTATCACACATGTCTCAACAACAGGCATCAACTAAATGCTGGGTGATGGACACCTGGTTGTAGACACACATTTGTGTCTGGTACCTGACTCTGATAGACTTGAGGATGATGATTCCCTAGAGAGACCCAGCTCCTTCCATCCCCTACTCTCTCAACACAGACAACCAACGCCAACCCCGACAAATCCCCAGGGGAACCAGGAACAGAGATGGCTTCCTTCTCGGCACAACTGCCTCTGTCCTATGCCCACTCCCAGGCTCCTCATCTAAATATGTATGATTGTGCGAGACTGTGATTCAGCAGGGAGAAGCTGGATTAAGGATGACAGCTCTTGCCTTGTCCCTGTCACATCCCTCTATGCCTGGAAGTTTCAGTGGATTCCAGGAGACTCCTGTACAAGAGGAGAGTTGTGCAAACCAATGGCTGGTACACGGCCACCCTAACCCTTCCTCGTCTGCAGGGAGTGCTTCCTTCTCTGAGTGACCAGCCTGGCTGACACAGCTTTGCTCACCCTCCTTTGGGGAACAGTCAGAGCTTGGGCCTTGTCACCTCTGCCGCCTCTCAAGGCCTGGGATCTCCCCAGCTGCACCCATCCTGGACTGGGAAAGGAGGAGCAACAGGACAGGGACTGGGCAAATCATGGCTGCCCCCAGTCCTGGACAGAGGTCTGCCGCCCTAATACACTTACTCTTGGACCAGCTCTGCCTCCCTCGTACCCTTTCACCGCCCTTCAAACCACAGTCCCGGAGTCTTACCGGCATGTTCCTTCTGGGTAGAGGCTGCCGGGCTGAAGGACAGTCCTCCAGGCTCCGGCCCCCGCGCCGATAGGAGCGAGTGCTCTCAGAGCTGGAAGACAGGGAAAGGCCAAGGTGACCCCTGCACCTAGAGAGCCCCTTAGAGTAGGGGGAAGGGCTCAGGGATAGAGCAAGGCTGGGGGCTTGGACTGGGTGGGTAGAGAGTCCACGAGGCCCGCAGGCTGGGTGCATCACAGGCCCCAGAGACCCAGAACTGACCTCCACACTGAAAATTTCACCATATCTATTCCCCAAACTCCAAACTGAAAGGGTCTGCAAGGAAGTTAGGACTGGATCCTGGGCTGGAGGTGGGGACAGAGCGAAAACCCCACTGTGAACCTCTAGAACAAGCCACAGTTGGCACTAGGCCTTCGCTTTTCCAGCTTCAGCAGCCTGAGCCCCAGACTCCTCCCCAGCTCTCCAGGCCAGGCGCAGGAGCAGGTGTGTGAAGGGGGAAGGGGCCCAATCACCCTCCACTTATGGTCTAGCATTTCTGCATTGTTCATGGGCCTCAGCGCTGGAAGGTATCCCGGGCTTCAGGCAGGCACCGTTTAGAGGTGGCAAAGTAAATGGATGCTCAGAGAGGTCAGGAGACTTGCTGAGACTGCACAGTTGGGCTTTCACCAACCTGAACCTGACAGGGGGATACATCTCTGAAGGGGTGGTTCCAGATGTCAGGCTGGGTCGGGAGGGGCCCGGGGGCTCCCAGAGGCCCTCTTCAGAGCTGGGTAGGGTTTGGTTGGGACCCCCAGGTTCCACGGGGCTTGTGAGGCTGGAGGAGGAGGAGGCTGGACTGCTCAGGTTCTCAGGGACCCCAGCAGACTCTGAGCTCAGGCTGGGAACTTCGGAACGATCTGAAATCAGAAGTGATAAAGCCTATCTTTATCACTTACTCTGTGCTCAACTTCAAAGCAGCTTTTGGCCTCTGGGATCTATCATGGTTCTCTCCCAATTCCCCAGCTCTCATCTACCTGTCCAGCACTCTCCTTCAACTCTTCCCCATCATGCTTCAGCCTCATGGTTCATGATGTTCATTCCGGATGGCCAGGGCCACACTGACTAGCACTGTTTCACTTCTGCTCACACCCTCTCCTCAATCTGGACTCTCCTGCTTGTCCCTCAGGCTCAGCTCTGATGCTGCCTCCACCAGGAAGCCTTCCTAACCCCCCTACCAATCCCAGCAGGAGACGCTCCCTCCCTCTCCCGAGTTCCCAGAACAAGCCTGTTCATTCATTCAACAAATAGTTCTTGACAACAGCCAAGCACTGTGCTAGGTGCTGGAGAAATAGTAGTCAACAAAACTTGCTTCTGTCCTTTTGGAATTTACCTTCTATGTCGCACTGTGCCTTATATTATAAAGAATTACATTCCAGTTTTTATCTCTCCCACTAGACTGTGTCTCAGTAGCCCCCAAGGGACTCAAGACAGTGGATGCTTAAAAAATGCTTCTCTTTTTCTTTCAGTGAAGCATTGAGGAATTTGGAATAAGACAGACCTGGGTTGGAAGCCCACATCAGGGACTTAGCTATGGGATCTTGGACATGTTACTTAACATCTCTCTTCCTTTACCTGTGATGGGGAGATGATAACCCCTACCTGACAGGTGACAGTGAGGACGGTATGGACTAATAGAGCACTCTGAGCTCAGTGCTCCAGCACATAGCAGGCCCTCAATGAATGGCATGAGAGCATTTTTCTGGGCAGCCAACCATACCTCCACTGGCATGTCCCGCACGCCCTTGGGCCATGGTCCGAGAAGGGTTTTTGACCGGCAAAGGTGGGGGGCAGTCCTCACTCTGGATCTTAGGGGCAGCTGGTCCCAGGCTGGCGATGGTCTCGTAGGTCTTGTTGCTGATGTCCAGCCTCCCACTGGCCCAGCGGACCTGGGCTGGGGGCTTCAGCGGGCAGCGCTGCTGGGGCAAAAGTGTGGGAGGGAGGATGACCTTGGTTCCTCCAGCTCAGCCCCGCCCCTCCCCACATCAGGTCCCATGTGGACCTGGAAGACCATCAGGTCTTCCCTTTGGCTGTCTGGAGGCCTGAGAGACGAGGGCTGGGACGCACCTTCTCTTCCTCATCCTCCTCACTGTCAGAGCCAGGCTCTGTGGAGATCCCCCAGGGGTAGTCCAGGTGCAGGGGGAAGGCGAGGGTCCCGGCATGGGCCTGCTCCAGCTGCCAAAAACAAAGCCTTGGCAGTTCAGAAGGTCAGGGCCTCAGCAGAGAGACAGAAAGGGTCAGGGGGCTCCCTCTCCTTCCCTAGACCTCACCAGCTCCTCACACTCTTTGTGCTGCTTCTTCCTGGCTATGTCCAGAGCTGTCTCTCCTGCCTCGTTCACTGTGAGGGATAAAGTCAGGGGTCGTGGTCAGGGTCAAAGAGGCATTATAACTTAGAGGTTAGGATGAGCCTGTGGGATCAAGATCGTCTGGGTTTGAATCCTGGCTCTGCTACTTCCTGGCTGTGTGACTTTGGACAAGTGACTTAACCTCTCTGGGCCTTAATTTTCTCATCTATAAAATGAGTATGATACTTGGAACTACTGACGAGGTTGTTATGAGGATTAAATGAGTTAATATACATAGAGCATTTGGCACATTACCGGGTACACATTAAACAGTAAATCATAGCTATTACAAGCACTATTATTCAGATTCAGTTAATGTTTATTTGTCTAGGTACTTTAAGAAACGTTGTTTTATTTTATCCTTTCAGCAGGTCTGCTAGGTCAGTGGTATTATTCCCATTTTACAGATGAGGAAGCTTAGGTTCAAGAGATGAATGGACAAACCCCAAAGTCACAAAGGTGGTCAGAAGCAAGCCAGGATTAGAACCCAAGTCTGTGTGCAAAGTCCATGCTTGTTACCAGTGCTCTCTGTCTGGAAATAAGGCAGGAAGTCCCCCACGAGGGGTAGTCAGGAATGGGAGTCTGATGGAGGAGTTGTCGGAGCCCCACCTGTGCCAAGTGAGGCTCTCCCTTTCAGCAGCAGCTTGAGGCAGTCGGGTTGGTTGTAGAGAGCAGCGCAGTGCAGGGCGCTGTTCCCATCAGCAGCCTTGGCATCCAGGTGACCACTGTGGCGGGGTGTGGGGGGGTGGGTCAGGGAGGAAGGAAGGGAACAGACAGGTGAAGGGGTCAAAGTCAGGGGGAAAAGAGAGAGAGGAAAGGAGGGAGGAGAGGGGGAAAAGAGGAAGGCAAGGGGAGCGTGAGGAGGTGGGCAGGGAGGTTCTCACCCGTTTTGGATGATGAAATCCACCAGGGGCAGGGAGGCCTGGTTGGTGACTCTGACAGCCAAGTGCAGGGCGAGCTCTCCAGGTGCCTGAATACATGTCCACACCTCTGAGTTTACCCCAGTTCACCTGCCCCCCAATATTACCCTCTTAAACTCTTGCTGCCCCCTGACACCTCCAGATACGAAGCTGCCAGAACCCCTGAGAGAGGAACTGAATGGTGAAACCTCATGTTTGGGAGGAGGATGAAAGGCCATTCCTTCACTGTTTCCTTCAGTGGTTCTACCTCCTCCTCCCCAGTAGAAGGTGTTTCCCAAACTTGGTTCTTGGCCTTGGACTCTTCTCTCTGCTCCTCTCTCACTGCCCCAGAGACGTCGAATAACCTCAAGCTTTCAGTTAACACTCACGTGTAGGCTGTTCCAAATTCTTACCCGTCTAAGTGCTACACCCACCCTGCCCACTGGATAGCCCACAAGATATCAGGCAGACAGCTCAAAGACATGGCATCCAATTTTTGATGTCCAATCAGTATCAATTTATTCCTTCAGATGTCTCTGATATCCTTTCCCCCTTGGCTCACGTGATGTTTGTTACTAGGATCACCAGTGCAATGGCCTTCCTTGCTCTGATCTGACCCACCCCTCCCCATTTCTAAGGCTATTCAAGGGAAAAAAAGATTCTAACATTTATCGCACATATATTATGCACCAGGCCCTTTCATACGGGACTTAATTCTCACTTCAACCCCATGGGTGCTATCATTAACCCGTTTTACAGATGAGAAAATGAGACTCAGAGTTCAGTAAACTGCTCAGGATCACACAGTTAGGAAAAGACAGAGCCAGGATTTTGGCTCAGGACTTCCTGACTTAAGTTGTGCTCTCTCCCATTTACCCCTCTGACGGGTGGGGTTTCAGCAGATGTCAGAGGTGGGGCAGGGGGGGAGTAACAGCCAGCCCTGGAGGAGGACTGGGGCGTGCTAAGTGTGGCTGGGTTATAAGTGGCCCTTGGAGAGGGTTCTCACCTGCCCCTCAGGCCCCGGCAGTGGCTGTCCAAAGTCCTGCCCATTAGCGAAGGCCTCCAGTACAGACCCGAGGTCCCGGTTGCAAATGGCCGTCCAGAGTCTCTGAGGCTCGGGGGTGGACCGCCGGGCAAACCTGTGTTCCACATACTTGGCCACGATATAGTCCCTGCGGGTGCTCCTGCCAAAAATAACCGCGGGATGTCAGAGCAAGGACCGTTTCTACTCAGCTGACCCTTGAAACCACCCCACATGTCCTGGACTCTTCCAGGTCTGAGGCTCCCGTCTCCCCAGACTTCTCCCTGGGAGCCGGGGAAGCAGAATCCCCCGGCCAGAATCTGCCCCCAGCTGAGAATCGCCTTACATGTCACTCTCAGTTGAAGGTTTAGGGCCGCCGTGCGAGGGCAGCTGGGCCTCCATGACCTCATTGAAGCGAGTGTTTCCGATGTTCAAGGCCAGCTGGGTTCGCGGGAAAGTAGTGGGGGTAAGACGCGGTGGTTAGGACAGCGCCCCCTGGAGGATTGAGCTTCCAGAGGTCCCACCCCTCAGCCTCCCTCCTGGTCCAGGCTCGGCTCCGCCCCGTCCATCCTCTTTTTGGCTCGTCTGGGTCCTGCCCCAACTTGGCCCTGCCTCACCTTGGCCCCGCCCCATCCGACCCCATAGGCTCCAGCTGAGCCCTTCGGGACCAAGCCCCGCCTCCTCATCAGACCACAGCCCTGATCGCCCTCCGGCCCCGCCCCGCCCTCACCAACAGCTCGGAGGGGCCCAGCAGGTCCAAGGTGAGGGACTGCATGCGTGAGAAGCGCACGCCCAGCTCGCGGTGGACGCCGGAGCACTGGATGCAGGTGAGCACGCCCAGGTTGGTGCTGAGCCAAGTGGGGTCTGCAAAGTAGCGCAGCTCGTGCATGGAGGCGCGGGCACCTCCCCTACGTTTCCACCTCCCTCCTCGTCCGGCCCCACCTGCAGCCCCGCAGTCGCAGCACTGGCCATTCCCGGGCCTGCTCTTGACCTCGGCGATGAGCAGCTTGGTGAGGTCCTGGGGCTCCCCGTCCAGCCCGGCGCCCCCCCAGGGCCCCGGGCCGCCGCTGGGCTCCCCCAGAAAGGCACTACTCAAGGCTTCGTCCTTGCTGTTCTGCAGCACTGACACCCACCTGCGGAGAGTAAGGCGTGGCGTGGGGATGACGCCCGCGGTGGTGCGGTCCTGTATCGGGCCGGAGGCTGCTCCCCTGCCCCCACTCCCAGGCTAGCCGTGGGGGGCACTCACGCCTCACACTCATGTTCGTCCTCCGCCTGGAAGTGGTATGTCCTGTTGTCTGTGGGGAGAGGGGCATTGTCTGGCTCACAGAAGTCCTGCTGTCCTTGCTGCCCTGGGCCTGGGAAGCCCTCACCCCCACCGCCGGCTCCAGACGGAGGTTTTGTTCCTTGGGGCCAGGCTCTGCTAAGCTACAGTGGGCGGGTAATGGCAGTGGCCAGCAGAGGGGGCAGTTTCTCAGAAGAAACCTCCAGAGTAGGACCCCAAGAAGGCCCTCTGTGTGAAGCCCAGCTTCCAGGGTCAGGCGAGGTTTCCCAGGGCACAGGGCCCCCCTCAGCTCACGGGCAGAGGAGCCTCTGAACCTACGGCCACCTCCCCTCCCAGCCCCACAGCCTCCCTTCGGGTATTCCTGCTCCCCACCTCTCCCCCTTGTCCCCCAGCCCGCATCAGCTGCCAGATTGCTGGGCCAAAGGTTCCGCTCAAATCACGCCACTTCCCTGCTCCAAGGCCTCCCATGGCTCCCTCCTGCCAGGAAACAAGGTCCAAACCTTTAAGAGGCGGTCCCAGGCTTCATCTCCCACTACTGCTATGGGAACCCTGCACCCTGTCTAAACTGGAGGACCCACTCTCCTGGTTCCATGCCTTTCATCTCCTGAAACATCCTCCCCCAGACTCTATGTTCTGTGTCCTTCAAGGCTAAACTCCGAGAAGGCTTTCCTGATTCCTCACAACAGGGCAGGCCTTCCCTCGCTCTAATATATCTTTTTAAATTAAAAAAATTTTTTTAATTCATTCATTCATTCACTTAATGCCACGCCGCATGGCTTGCGGGATCTTAGTTCCCTGACCAGGGATTGAACCCAGGCCCTCAGCAGTGAGAGCACTGTGTCCTAAACACTGGACCCGACAGGGAATTCCCCCCTCACTCTAATCTCTGATGGTGCTATATCTGCACCTCTCTTCTGGACATTCCCCATCACCTTGCAGTTCTGGGTCCCCACCTCACACCCCTGCCAGACAGAGCTCCCTGAAGACCAGATCTAGGTCTTTCTCAGCCTGCGCTGGAGCTCATGAAAAGCCTGTCACCAAGCCCCCAAAAGATGAAAACTGAACATTTTAAAGTAATAATTTTGAAAGCCAAATTACCCAAATCCATCTAAATATGCTTTACAGAAATAATCATATTTAATGTGGGGTGTGGGTGCATTTTAATGTTTAATGTGACATGGGGTGAAGCCTCTGAAAAGAGCTTAAGCAGTCTTATGCCTGCTGTAGCAACTATTTGATAAACACATGTGGAATTGGACACAGACCCCTAATTGGAGCCTCCCAGGAGCTGACAGGTCTCTCAGAGAAGCCCTGGGCAGTTGCTGGGTAGGGGGCAGGGACTACTCACGGGTCACCAGGTCAAAGCACTTTTTCTCCTCGGGGTTTGGCCTCACTTGGCACGTCAGCAAGGTCAGCTTCACTGGTGGCCGGTTTATCTGTACGAAGTTGGGGATGGAGGATGTACATGTTACCCTCTGGGCCTCTCAAACTCTTAGGCTTGTTTCCCAATCTGTTAAATGGGCATAATAATCGTGTTCCAGTTTATGTCTCCCCTCTCCTAGCACCTCAAGGATGTGGAGTGTGAGGCTTTGGATCCCTTCCTTCCTCCCACAGGGAGTCTCCAGTTCCCTGGATCCAGGTTTGCAACCAGTCTTAGAGGGAGGGTTTGACATCTGTCTGCTCTGAACACCAGGAGGAGTTCTGGTATCATGTCCTGAGACCCCCCCACCCCTCCAGGCCTCACCGTGCTGTGTGAGATGGTCAGGCAGCCATACTTGACTCCACACTTCCTTTTCTGCCAGACTCTTCGAATTCTAGGGTCCAGAGGGATAGAAAGACAGTCACTCAAGGCTCACACCTAATTCCCCTGTATCAGTGAACAGAGTCCTGGACCAGGACTCACTTCTTCACCTCTTCTGCCTCGTGACCCCTATGCCCCTCACTCCCTGGGCTCCCTTCTGCTGCAGGGGACACAGCCCTGCCATTAGGAAGCTCCCAGTCAGACAGCCCCACTCTCTAGGAATCTTTATTCTAAAGGGGCATGTGACCTTGGCCCTCTGAGACCTTCCAGTCTGATGGACGAGACAGTTCCCAACCTTAGGGACCTCCTAGTCTGAGAGGAGGAACAGGTTCTTGACCACAACAGATGAATTATGGTTAAAGACAAAGCAAGATAAATATCGAGCCCTCAAAAATAAAATTAGCAAATCCATGATCAAAGCTACTTGACACTTTTCCTGTAAGAGGTAAATATTAATCGGCTTAACAAAGGTATTCTTCTCTGATAAAAACCGATTAGTAAGTAAAAAAATTAATGGATTCCCATAAAGGCCTTTGCATTTCACAGACTGATTTTTTTTTACACCAGGGAGCAGGGCACAGTCAACAGTTTCATTTCCAGGCAGTCAATATATTATAGAGATTACAGGTGAGGCCATGGAGACTGTCTAGTGCATAATAAGTGCTCAAAAATTGTTCGCTGCTGCTATTCTTCTTCTTTACGGTAAGAACCACCACCAAATTTAGCAGCAATCCACGAGCCCAGGATTCTGATGATTTTGCACTGCCAGGGTGGAGGGTCCTGGAACCCTCAGGGTCTACACAAATGATAGGAACAGTCCCTTCAGGCAGCTCACCCAACCCTATCATTTACTGGCTGGGTGGCTTTGGGCAAGTTACTTGAGCTCTCTGAGACACTTACCCATCACTTTTCTTGTACAGAAAGCCCACCTTCTCTGTCCCAAACTGCTTGTTGCCTTGGTGCTGGTGGATGCTGTAGCCACCTCCTGAGTTCTTCCGGCTCAGAGTCTCCTGTTCCTCGGACATGCAAAGGAGACCTCAGGGCATGTGGGTGGGAAGAGCCCCAATCTAAAGGGGTCTCACTCAGGGAGACTTCTCAAGGGGATGCTATGGGGTCTTCCTTTTCTCCCTCCCTCCAGGGTGGGCCTTGGGAGTGGGCACTTGGTTGGGTATGATTCAGGGGCTGACTTCTCTGCTCTCAAGCTGCAGCGTCCCTCGGAGGGAGTCCCGGAGCTGGGTCAGCTTTTGTAGCTCCTCCTCCTGGGCTTGATGCAGCTATGGGACAAAGGGCAGGACCCCATCATCAGCCAGCGGATGTGCCAGGTACAGAGCCCAGACCCAGAGCAGCAGGGCAGTAGCCTCCTTGCTCTCTGGACAGAGACCAGCAATTCCATGGCCACAGATTCTCCCGGAAGGACAGGGGACTTGACCACAAGCTCAAGGGTGAGGCCCAACTTACTGCGTGTACTGAGGCTGCCAGCTTCTCAATGAAGGGGGACAGGCTCTGAGCAGCCTTCCAGCCATCTTGGAAAAAGCTAAGGGTGTGAGGCCAAACAAGGGACCAGAGAGAGAGATGAAAATGAGAGGGGAAGTGTGGGAGAAGGTGCTCTAAAGATCACAGGGCACCCGGGGGCAATATAGTGTGACGGCCACGAGCAGGCACCCCGGAGTCAGAGTGTCTGGGTCCAGATCCCACTTCCTAGCTGTGTGATCTTAGTAAATCTGAGTCTAAATTTTCTCATCTATAAAATGGGGATACTAGCAGTAGCTGCTCACAGGGGTGTGTGTAGGGTACGTAGTGCTTGATATGTGGTGAGCATTCAATAAAGAGCAGCTGTAAAAAGCATTACCGCTGAGGTACAGACACACACGGAAGCCTCAAGGGTCTGCCAGACCCTGGGGATGGCCTTGTTCTCGGTTGCCTGGAGGGTTAAGGGGCAAGCGACCGTGGGGTTGGGGGTGGGACACGGGGAGAAACCTACTTGTGCTGGGCGTGGAAAAACTTGATGAGGCTCTGCAGGAAATCAGGACCTTGCTTCATCTGGCTCTCCCCGGCTTTCAGCAGATACTGGGGAGAGGGCAGGGAAAGGTGTGTGATGTGAGCAAAGCTGAATCCTGGGCACAAGGGGCTGCCGTCCCCATCCCAGGCTAATCCTTTTGGCCATGACTGGACCTCGGTGATCTCTCAAGGGCCATCTGGCAAGGACCTAGGCTGAGACTGTGACTGGGCCCCCGGGGGCGTTCAGGGATGCAGACAGGAAGACACATCCCACCCCTCCTTCGGCCTGGGGCACCCCTTACCTCACACACATGCAGCTGGAAGACGCGTCGCTCTCTCTGGGTGTCCTGCACCGCCTCCCCGGCACTCCCTCCTGTCACCCTGGCCCGGTCCCTCTCCTTCTCCAGCCTGGCCCTAGGCCCCCAGGAAAGAGAGGCCTGAACAACTCTCACTATCCCCTTGCATGTCCCACCATCCCTACATGCTCCTGTCTGTACGGGCACACGAGAGTGAGGGGACCCTCCTCTGCGCAGCTGTGTGGTGGGGCTGGGGTACAACGGTCAACAGTGTGGATTCAGGGAATGTACAGGCTGGTGAGGGGGCGAGCCAGCCCCGTGAATCAAATCACAGCCTTGAAGAGAGCAATGGGAGAGTAAAATGGGGGATCCAACCTCATCCAGCTACTCAGGAAGTGGTGCTGGAGCTGGGATCTGAAGTCAGAGGAAGCTAGGGCTGGGTGGGAGGATCAGACCATGGGACAGCCCGGAGGCAGGAGAGATCAGGGCTCACAGCGGACAGAGCGGGAGGTGGTTCCACGTGAGGTAAAGAGAGGCCAGACCACGCAGGGCCTGAGTCAGACCGTGTTGACGTTCTTGGTCTTTATCCCAAGAGCAATGGGAAGGAGTTGATGGTTTCTAGGCAGGGAGGGGATGGGCTCAGATAGGGCCAGGTGGGATGGGGGTAACCAGTTCTGATTTTTCTGGAAGGGATTTAGGACCATGTGGGTTAAAAGACCACAAGGTGCCTTCATTCTTCTGAGCCATGGAGCTTCCCATTTAAAGCTTAAAACACCTTGATTCTTTTCTTTGTAGGTGAAGACAGAAAGCGCTTCCCATCCTGTAGCTAAGAGTAACCTGGGCTTTCTCCCCTAAGGATCTCAGAGTTGGTGGTTTCTCCTGTTTGTGGATGGGTGGAACTGTGTATAAATGGTTTCCTGGAAATCCCACACCCATCAGACCACCCACTCCCAGCCAGGAGAGTATTTCCAAATCTGGGGCTGGACGCATGAGACCCGTGAATCTCGTGTAAAGGAGACAGCTTGTGTATAGTTTTGCTCCCAGTGGGTGCCAGCCCTGAGCAAAGAAAAGAGACGTGGGATAACCTTATATCTGCATTAACTTCCCCTCTCCAAGCCCCAGTCTCGTCATCTGGAAAATGGGGACCTCTATCTGTACCCAGATGAGATAAAGTATGCAAAAGACTTAGCAGACAGAAGACACTACAGTATAATATTATAGGCCCTTTAAGCTTCAGTTTTCCCATCTGTAAACTGAGGAAGCAATGGCCCAGACTGAGTTCTCAGGCCCCTTCTGGTTCTAAAGTTCTAGACCTTACTGACGTCAGACCTCTGGAATGGTGTTTATTTGCAGAATCTGTCCCTGGAGACCCAGAGGGCAGTTTCTCAACCTTGGAACTACAGACATTTTGACTAGATAATTCTTTACTGTGGGGGCCCTCCTGTGCATTGTAAGATGTTTAGCAGCATCCCTGGCCTCTGCCCACTAGATGCCAGTAGCATCTGCCCTGTTGTGACAACCACAAATGTCTCCTGGGGTGCAAAATCACCCCTGGGTGAAAACCACTGCTCTAGAGCAGAGTTCTGCAGGGTTTGTTTTTGTGTGTGTGTGTGGTTTTGTTTGTTTTTAATGGTCTTAGAAGTGGTTACTCTTCATTTCCCCAAAGCTTTATGATACCTCAAGAGGGAGTCTGTGGCAGGGGAGTGGAGTTAGGTGAGGACTGACCCTGTGAACGGGCCTGGGGGTCAGGGCAGATGCTTTTTTGGGATCTGAAGATGAGCAGCAGAGAGAGAAGTGGTGGCCAGGCCTGAGCAACAATGAGCCTGGCAGCTCGCTAAGGGTGGCGGGAGACTGAGGGGGCAGAGCAGCTGGGAGAGGGCAAGGGCAGCTCCCGTCTACATTGTTACCATATCTACAAAAAGTGAGAGGGACTTCCCTGGTGCTCCAGATTTAACAGACTCTGCGCTTCCACTGCAGGGAGCATGGGTTCGATCCCTGGTGGGGGAACTAAGATCCCGCATGATGCGTGGCATGCACCCCCCCCAATAAGTAAATAAATAGGGAGAAATGAAAAATAAGCTAAATATTTATCAACAGGAAGTAGTTAAATAAATTATGCTATGTGCACATATAGGAATACTATGCAGCTGTTAAAAAGGATGGGGGAAATCTATATATACTGGCATGGAAAGAAGTCTGCTCCAGAGTATATGGACAAAAAGGAGGCCACAGTATAGTACAGTGGCTAGAAATGTGGATTCTGGATTTGAATGGCAGCTCCCTCGCTTACTTAATCTTATAAATCTTTCTAAGCTTCAGTTTCCCCATTTCAAATATGAGACTAATACTGCCTACTTCTCAGATGATTTAATGCACTGGAAACATTTAGTACAGTCCCTGGTGTGTGGTAAGCCCTCAATAAATGACAGGATTATGATGATGCTAATGATACTGATGATTATAGTAAGAACTTGATGATTCCCTTAGATAATTTATTTTTATTTATTTATGCATTTATTTATCTATCTGTATATGGCTGTGCCACGTGGCTTGTGGGATCTTAGTTCCCCAACCAGGGATCGAACCTGGCCCCCAGCAGTGAAAACGCTGAGTCCTAACCACTGCACCGTCAGGGAATTCCCTAGATAATTTTTTTAGTGTAGCATACTTCCTATTTATTTAATATTTTTTATGCAAGGTCTAGTGGAGGTTAAAGGACAGAAGCTACTTAGCTCAGGATGAAGATAACCTTGTGAATTACCATAGCTCTGTCCCTCAGCCTCAGCTATGGTAATTTACAAAGATTTCCCTACAAAGTCTGAAATAGTCACCTGAAATGACCTGATACACCTCAGACTAACAGCTGGGAGTGCTTTCATTCCACCGCACACAACCCCACACAGAAAATAGCAAATCCCATTCCCTCCCTGTCCTCAAAGTATGACCAATGTTTCATAAACATTTCAAATGTTAGGAATATTTTTATTTTCTTTGAATGGAGTTGCAGCGGGAATGAAAAGTGCTGAAAGGCTAGTTACTAAGAAGACAGAGATAACTGGAGGAGGGGACCACAGCCACAGTCTAACACTAACTATTCAGGGGATGAGGAACAGGTACCAGTGGAGTGAGGAGGTCGGGGCGGGAGGGAGACGGGAGAGGAAAGGAATCAAAACGAATCCTGCATCTGCCAACCTGACACCTTGAACCACCTCTCCTGTGATGCCTTTTCCAACCACCCTTCCCTCCACCCCAGAACTGCCTGCCTGTTCTGCCACCTCTGTGCTGATGCCTTCATTATAGCACTGTCACTTTGTATTTTCATTATTTTGGGACCCACCTCCCTTCCTGCTTACAAACCAGTGGGATCCACTAAGGCAGGGATTGTGGTGATATTTTTTCCCTCACTACTTACCTGTAAATTGGGGATAATAGCACCTTTCCCTTCCAAGATGAATAACTGATGACAGATGTAAAGAGCTTATCACAGCAGTTGGCACAAAGGAAGCGCTTAAGTAAGCATAAATATTAGCTGCTATTATTAATAATTATTTTTAAGTGCTAATTTTGTGCTGAGTGCTCTGCTAGGCCCTTCACACACCAAAGCAATAATCTCATGAGGCAGGAATCATTAACTCCATTTTACAGATAAGTCACTTGTCCGAGGCACACAGCTGCTAAGTACTAGAGGATGTGAACCCAAGTCAGCCTCTGATGCTAGAGCCTTAGGGACAGCACTTGGTAATGAACACTGTGGCTCAGATTTGTTCCATCCCTCCTTCCCTGCCTGGTTCCCCCAGCTGGTGGCAGTCACAGTGTCTTTTCTGATAGATCACGGTCAGGGACTATTTTCCAAAAGACGGAGCTGAGATCCAGAGAAGGGAGGTAATTGCCCAAGATCCCAGGCTGGTTGGGGAAATGCTAGGAGCAGAGGTCTGGGCTTTTGCCTCTGAACCCCTTGCTGTGTTATTCTGGCCCCAGTTCTGGCTCAGAAAGATGGCCAATAAGTACGTGTTGAACTGCAGTGCCAGGTGCTGTATATGCCCTGCACTTACTTCATCTCCACATCAACCCTGCAAGGTATCGTTGGTCCCATTTTTCAGGCGAGGAAACAGCCCTGAAAATGGAACAGCCTAGATAACTGTGTCCCCTGCACAGGTCCTGGGACGCCTTTCTTAGCAGCCCCAGGTGGAGAGGGGAACCCCCTATATGAACAACCAGGGGGGTGAGAATCCCGGTGATATTCAACAGATACTGTCAGGGCCCTTGGGCCCTTGCGGTTGTTGTCCAGACTGGTTTGGTAAGAATGAGTTTGGAATTACACAGCAACGCATGGCTCGCTAATATCTAGCTATACCTGGAGCCCTCATAAAACGAATGTACACAGACACCTGTGCCAGGACATGTAGCTCGATCTATGTTATAGAAGCAGGAGCCAGGAGACCACTGGAAGAAGAAGAAGACCAGACTCAGAAGTCCTGGGTTCTAGCCCAGGTCCTGTCGATAACTCACTGCGTAACCTCAGACAAGCCCCTTTCCCCATTATTACACACAGTCTTTTCTTTAAACGAAACCTTACAGGCAAGATCAATATATCAATCTGGTAAAAGCAGAGCTACTTGGGGAAGGTCAGCAAGGTAGGGCTTATTCTTTCTATTTAGTAGATGATGCCCTGAAAGGCTAAAAGGCTAAGGGCTTAGTCAAGGTCACTCAGGAAGATGAAGACCATGTGATCACACATCAAATCATAAAGAGAAAGATCACCTGCCTGCCTGTCCACACCCCCTCCCTAGGCCTCTGATGAGAACAGATGGCCACGCTCATCACAGCTCCCACACCCTTCACCACAAGATCTACACCCACAGCGGGAGTGTAGATGGAGATCCTTGTTGGGGGGAGGAGTTTCGGCCTCCTTCAGACTCCGGGAGTTCCCCATGGTGCTGGGAGCTTGAGGAACAATAAAGCTCCAGGATCTACTTCTTGGAAGGATTTTACAGAAATAATTATGGGTGGGAGCAAGGATTTAGTTCCAAGGATGCTTCCCCAACAACAGGGGCAGATTAAATACATTGTGGATTATGCATATGTTGACACACAGTGCACCCATTTCAGTGACGTTGTATAAAAATATGTAATGATGTAGAAAGATGGTCACAATGTATTTTTAAGCAAAAAAACCCCAGTATGATTATTATGATCTCGGTTTTGTAAAAATATTTCTTTATATATAGAAAAATGACCAGAAAGATGTTAATACATTAGGCTGGAAATGAAGGATCTTCTTCCTGGTTTTTGGTAGGGTCCCCGCCCCCCGCTTCCCCCTCCCAACCCCTGGCCTCGACATGCCACTTGTGGGATCTTAGTTCTCCGATCAGGGATTGAACCTGGGCCACGGCAGGGAAAGTACCGAGTCCTAACCACTGGATCACCAGGGAGCTCTCCCCCACCCTCCACTTTTTTAAAATGATGAAATTACAGTGCTACACACAATATGTAAACAAATTCTAACAAGAGACAAGTACTGGATATTCCCCCACGTGACCCTCATCTTCTTAATTAAAAATGTTTCCTCGTCTACTTCTCCATATTTTCTAAGTTATTCATAATGAACACATATTGCTTTTGCAAAATGCAAGAGAAGCCAAAATTTTACAAAGAAGAGCAAACGGTGCCCTGAGGTACAGTGGGCCCAGCTGGGTCCTGGCAGTGGGCTGGGGCCAGGACCTGGACAGAGTTTGGCAGGCAGAGCCCAAGGAGTCCCTGCTCAGGGGCAGTTCGTTACTGGGTACCTGGGACCCCCTCTGTCTCCCTAATGTCCCAGTAGCTAGGGAGAAATCTGGAGTATTGTGTGTTGCACACAAGAGGCCTGGGTATGGCCTTTCATCCTCTGTGTCCAGCTAAATGTTTATAGATACTGCCTGGTGCTGCAGAAACAGGATCAACGAATGTGAATCCCAGCTCTGCCTCTGCCTAGCTGTGTGGCCTCGGGCAAGTAACTTAACCACTCTGAACCTCTAATTCCTCCTCTGATAATTGGGATACTCGTATCTCCCTCACAGGGCTGGGTGAGTGTGAGGATGGATGTTTGGCACATGGAGGTGTTGAGTAAATGGATGCTCCTTTCCATCTCTCTGCCCATGTCTGGCACCACTGAGCAGATGAGTCTCTGAGAGCAGCATCTTGGGGTCCCTTTAGTCATCTCGTGCTCCAGCTCCCAGACTCCCATCAGGCCTGGGCATAAACCAGCCCCCATAAACATTTCTAGAGAGCGAGGTGCCATGTGCTTCTGGGTGACGTGCCCTGGCAGCACTTAGGTTCTTCCCCATATCCCGCCTCCCGCTGCAACAGAAACATTGCTCTCCTGGACAAACCATCCTGGCCGCAGCCACTTACATTTTGGCTTCGTAGTCCTTCCATGCCTTCTCCAGTTGCTTTTTGGAATCCTGTAGTTGAGAAAGAACAATTTGCCCAAAGGGGCTCTTGGGGTCTGGAATCTACAGTACACTTTGCTACCATTAGGGGGACCCTGCACTTGCATGCTCCCCTGTGCTGCTCAGAGCCACAATCCAACCACTCCCCTGCCCACATAGCCCTGACTGCAAACCTGACCCCCCAAAATAGACCCAACCAACCCCATTTCTCAGAGCTGAGCCCCTTCTCCCAACTGACCTCTTCCCGCAGTTGCCAGTAATCCTTCTGAATTGGTAGGCTCAGGCCTAGGGTATTGGGGAGATTTTGGGGGGTCTGCCCTGAGTCCCCTCCCTTAGAAGATGGAGATCGCCATGAGGAAAAGGATGGAGGATAAAGATCAGAATCCTCCCCTAACTTCACCCCACTGTTTTCTCCTGCCTGGTACTTGCTCACCCTTTCAACAGGAAGGTACAGGTGGAAGGACATATGCACAGAGAGGCTAAGAAGCCTACCCGAGGCCACACAGCAAGCTGGAGAGACCTGGCTGATCCCTGGCCTAGTTTGCCTGGGCCTCATCCAGCAGGCTGCTCACACCCTTCAGAACAGCCCCCCTGCCCCCACCCCCAAACTTCCAAGGTGCCCCAGTCTACCAGGCGAAAAAGCTGCTGGTCTGGTTTGGGTGGTTCCCGGGCGAGGAGGAAAGCCTCTGCGGGGAGAACCTCTCAGGGGCCTTCTGGGGCAGACTTCCCAGGGAGATTATTCTGTTACTCTCTTTGAGTTCTACTTTGCCTCTAGCCAGGAGCTGCCTGCTGCAGAGAGAACAGCCAAGCATGGGAGTCAGGAGGCCTGACTCTCACACTGGCTCCTCCACTGACCAGCTGTGTAAACTGTAAGCAGGTACCAAACTCCCTGAGCCTCAGTTTCCTCAACTGCAAAATGTGGATAACAGCACCTACAGGACCCCCCCGCCCCGCCCCGCATTGGGTTGTTGTAAAGGGCCCTGGCAGACAGTAAGTCAGCTATCCTAGGCTCACCCCAGGGCCAGGTCCTCCTGTCATCCTGAGGGTCAGTAATGTGGGGACAGCCTCGCTTGGCTTCCGTCCTCAGCCCAGCCTTGCCTCCCCTGTCGTCTCCTGCCAAGCCCTGTCTTGCTCCATCCCACCACCTCTGCACTCCCCCTGCTGCCCACATGGAAACTCACCTGTCGCCCGTCCCTCAGCTGTCCCTTCAACAGACTGTCCAGGGGGAAAGAGACAATGTTGTTCAGGTTCTGAACCTGGAAAAAGCAGAAACCCCCATACCCCACCTTGGGTGACCGTCCATCCAGCCCCAAGGGGCTCAGGGTACAGAGAAGCATCACAAGGCCAAGGACAGCACTGGGGTAAAGGAGGCAGGGGAGAGAAAGACAAGAAGGTGAAGGAGTACAAGGGGTGGCGGGGTCGGCGTCCTGTGGAAGCTCTTCCCCTCCCCTGACTAATCCGCCTTATCACCTCACTGCTCAATCCACGGCATCCATGGTCAGCCTGTCTTTGTCCCTTTGCCAGAGGGACACCCTCACCTCTCCTCTCTGACCCTCTGAGGCCCACCTGTAGCACCATCTGTTTTTTCTGTCTGGCTAGTTTCTCGACTCCCCGTATAATGTGGGGAACCCATTCCCTATGGTCACACGGGGTGAACACAGGAGTCAGAGCTGACCAGAGTGCCCCACCCTCCAGCTACTGTGATTGGATCAGAAACAGGCACATGACCCAAGCCAGCCAATCAGGATACTTCCTGGGACTTCTCTGCCAAAGTCACGAGAGAAAGATTGTCTGTCTTCTGTAAGGTGTGATTCTGGGCCTGCCCACTGAGCAGAGACAGAGAGAAACTCTTTAAGAGAAAGAAAAGGAGCCTAAGACCAGCTGCATACCTGGACTTCCCATTACAGGGGCCAGTGAATTCTCTTTTTAAAAATTAACCTAGGTTAAAAAAAAAAAAAAAAAAAAAAATTAACCTAGGGAATTCCCTGGTGGTCCAATGGTTAGGACTCAGCGCTTTCACTGCCGGGGCTGGGTGGGCCCAGGTTCAATCCCTAGTCAGGGAACTAAGATCCCACAAGTTATGTGGTGTGGCCAAAAAAAAAAAGATTGAAAGAGAGAAAAAGACATATAAAAAGAAAAAAATTAACCTGGTTTGAGTTGAATTTCTGTCATTTGGCAACTCAAAACAGCCTAATATTTCAGCCCACCTTTCAAGGTACAGTTCGGGCCTCCCCTCGTCCAGGAACCCTTCCTGACTACTTTCTCCTGTGGCCTATCCTGACCTCCCCTTTTCTGAGCCATGGCAGCCCTAGCCCTCTGACCCAAGCCGCTGGGTCCTTGAGTTTGTGCCACACTGCCGGTCTTGCTTGGTGTCATTTCACATCTCAGTTCCTCGACTAGGCTGTGGCTCTCCGAGGCAGTCTGACTCTTCCCTGTGTCACCAGCCCCTGGTACACCACCCACCACTGAGGAGATGCTCAGCAAACACTAGTTTGACTGAAACAAGAGGAGGAGAGGTAAAGACAAAAGTCGTCACTGATTCAGTTGAACCCAAACACTGTTAAAGGCCTCTACGTGCAGGACAGGGTGCGAGGCAGTGCTACGCAAAGAGACAAAATGATGACCGATGGCAATATTAGCTAATGTTAACTGAGCGCTACCCTGGAGCAGGCACTTAACTTGCGAAATCCTCATCACCACTCTGTGAGGTGGGGACCATTGTTATCTGCATTTTACAGATGAGGCTTGGGCAGACTGAGGCACTTGCCCAGGGTCATACACCTAGTGAGCAGCAAAGCAGGGATTCAAGGCCTGAGTCTAAGCCTGAGGTGTGGGTGCTTGATCACTAAGCAAACTGCCTCGTAGAGATGATGTGGTCCCCGCCAGCCAGGAAGGGCCCTGGGTGGACCTTGAGCCACGAAAGCTGGGCCAAAAGCTATGAAGCCTAGAGAGGCTTTCCTGGGAGGTGGTACAGCCAGGCTTGTGCTCGGATGCTGGGTTCAAATCAGCCGTGTGACCTCGGACAAGGTGCTTAACCTCGTGTCTTAGTTTCCTAGCCTGTACAGGGGGGACAATAGTAAAAACAACCCCACAGAGCTGTGCTCCAGGATGAAATGTTAACACACGTGAAGTACCGAGAACCACGCCTGCACCAGGAAAGAGCTCATGTCTTGGGGTAGCCTTGAGGTGGGGACTTGGTGGGCGGGGAGGAGGCCATCTCAGGAAGGAACCTGAGGCCGCTGGGCCACGTGCAGGAGCTGAGAGGCTTGCTGCGGCGAGGCACGTTCTTGCCTTTGAGGACAAAGCAGGTATGGTTGGGAAAGCAGAGGACAAAGAGGGTGAAGGAGAGGCAGTGGTGCAAAGACAGGAACCCGAGCCTGCCCTCCCTTGAGTGGGGCTCCTCCCCACTGTGAGCCCCCTCTGCTCCTGGGTGCTCACCACAGAGGAGAAGGAGGAGGGCAGGGAGGGAGGGAGAGAGGGGAGAGGAGACGCCGGCCGGAAAGAAGTCAGAGAGGAAGGAGAATGCAAATAGGAGGTCAGAACTGGAAAGGGGGACTTCCCTGGTAGTCCAGTGCGTAAGACACTACGCTCCCAATGCAGGGGGCCCGGGTTCCGTCTCTGGTCAGGGAACTAGATCACACACACACGCCACAACTAAGAAGTCCGCATGCCGCAACTAAAGATCCTGCGTGCTGCAACTAAGACCCGGCGCAGCCAAAATAAATAAATAAATACTAAAAAAAAAATGAACTGGAAAGGAACCTCAGGTCATGGGTCAGAGGTCAAGGGAGACTAGAGGTCATGGGAAACCTGAAAGAAGGGTGGAAACCAACCCTTTCCAAGTCGGGTTTTTTGGGGGTTTTTTTGCGGTACGCGGGCCTCTCACTGCTGTGGCCTCTCCCGTTGCGGAGCACAGGCTTCGGACGCGCAGGCCCAGCGGCCATGGCTCACGGGCCCAGCCGCTCCGCGGCATGTGGGATCCTCCCAGACCGGGGCACGAACCCGTGTGCCCTGCATCGGCAGGCGGACTCTCAACCACTGCGCCACCAGGGAAGCC